CCGGAACGTTCCTCACGACACGCTAAGTTTTGGCCTGGCAGGTTCTCCCTGGCTGTCACAGCTCTCTTATGCTGCCGGCCCTCACCTCCATTTTTCATTTTTATAGGCTAGAAATCATGTGTTAGTTTGCCTTTGCTTGGCAGCCTTCAGGGGCAGCTGAACATGCCCGGTCACAGGAAGTAAACACATAAACAGCTGAATATGTGCTTTACGCACTCTCTCACACAAGCACTCTCTCACACAAGCACTCTCTCACACATGCACTCTCGCACACATGCACTCTCGCACACATGCACTCTCGCACACATGCACTCTCGCACACATGCACTCTCGCACACACAGGCACAAACAGTATAATGAGATGCTTAAAATTCAGCCTCATGCTGGGACTTTTTACCCAGAATGGTGAAGCCATGAGGACTGGTGGACCAGTGCACCGTGCTACTGACAAACACTTCATTTTCAGTGCAGAGATGTCAGGGCTGAGGCAGAGGGAAGATTTAATCGAAACCCCCCCCCCCCCCTCCAAACCACACTCCAGGCCCAACCCCCACTGGCACACTATACACAGGCTGGCCCCAGGAAGCATCAGAACCTGGGATTAAGTGCCTGACACTCAAACACCCCCTGTCATCCCTCATTCAAAGAAGTGTAATCGCACTGCACCTCTTTGCAGCTCCCTGATGACACAAGAGCTCAGACTGACAGTCATTCACTTCCATATGGAGCCTAATCCCCCAAATTGTGATGCCCCCTATGAAATCAGAGCCATTTCACTGATTAAAATAAACCCTTTTAATTAATGAATAACTATGTCACTGGTAACACCTCTCACTATGACTAGCGCAAATGGGGATTTTGAAAACACCACACATCGACCATATTGGCTTGCGTGGAGTGAAGTGTTATTTCCCACTGCAGCAGTAACGCATATTTAAACACACACACGGCGACAAGCTGGTGATCTCGGACTGGCTCCTGTCCTCAGCACAAATGCAACACAAGAGGGGGGAAAAAAAGAGGAAAGGAAAAAAAAAATACTCAGGAGAAGCATTGAGATTTGTTTACCAGCAGTGCGCAGTGAAGCCGGGGATTCCTCCAGTTTTCACCTGAGCTTAATGAGACGAGAGAGGCGACGGAGGCAGAGTGGGAACCGAGGGGGTGAGGGGGAGACACATGCCCGTTTCCATGGTAATACATTCTTTCCCACAATCTGGGATCATCCTCTCCTTCAACTAATCTCCTGACGATCTTGCTTCATATTTATCACGTACACAATTCATTCCACTCCATTCCAAATCGCCATTAAGAACCCTTAGACAAGGGTCTGGCAAGCATGCTGAGAAGCACCCCCCCCCCAATCTCCGTGAAGCTGCGTGCAGTGACTAGTTGAATACATGCAAGGGGGGGGGGGGGACAAGGGGAGCTCTGGCTCTGCTGCTGAGATACGCACATTCATAAATGAGGAAGGCGTCTCGCAAACCGCGCGTCTGGTTCCATTCATACAACATTCACCCATTCATCTTTACATATTCAAATCACAGCCTCCTGTAAGTTCATGTAATGCCCAGGATGAATAAAAGAAAACTGGAATAACAGCCCAGCAAAACAACAGCGAAACACTATTCAACAGGATGGGGACACACGTTCTTAACAGTGCTGATCAATTAGATGCAAATCATGCTCACGCTGGACCCTAACCTCTCCTGTAAGCATCTCCTTGTATCTAGGAGACATACAGCCAAGCAGCAGCTGTCCCCAGCTGTCCTACTGTCCAGGTCACCTCATCCCTGCCCAAACCTGGAGACACTGACGGTACTTACTCGGACCTGGCCAGCGCTGCCAGGGGCCGGCTGAAGAACCAGCCTAGAAAGGGCAGGTCGCAGCCCTGGAAGCCGACTTGCTGGGGGCCACGCAGAGCAGGCGCTGGCCGGGAACTGGGCTTCTCGGGCTCCTCAAAATTGGAGGTGTCATCTTCTGCGCGGAGTGCGGGGACAAAGGGAGGGACGGCTGGTGGGGGGAACAGAGAGGGAGACAGAACGGGAGAGACCCACAGTTAATGACAGGGGAGAGAGGGAGAGAGAGAGAGAGACTAGGGACAGAAGGATGGTGAGGGAAAGAGGAGAGAACACGCAATGAGATTGTAGTGCAGTATCCCACACAAGCTGAAGCGCTTCTCTCTCTCTCTCTCCCCCTCTCTCTCTCCTCCCCTCTCTCTCTCCCAACACTGCCGCAGCCCCAGCTAATCACAGGCGCACATGCAGCCTGACTCACCGGCGGAGCTGAGCGCGCTCCCAGTGCGCCGCACCGGCACGCCTCAGCCCTAGGAGGTTCCACGCCCAATCGCACTTCCCGCCACTAACCTGGAGCACGTCATTCATCACTGCGCCGTGCTCCCCATGCGTCTAGCCCCCCTCCTCCACAAGACACACCTATTTTATGAAATCAGAATTCACCAAAATCATTTCACTTGGAGGTGATTGGACCTGGCATTTCTTCAGGCACTGTAATTAAATTCTGCAATTAAATGCGGCAATTAGAAAGCAGAATGGCAGTGCGAATAAGCCTGTGAAAATCTCTAGGCATTTTGAGGGGGAAAGAAGATACATGGTCAGGACAATGAGTCTAGAAGCGCGCTTGCGTGCGCGTGCACACTCTCACACACACACACACACACATACGCACACACACACATACGCACACACTCTCTCTCACACACACACACATACGCACACACGCACACACACATGCACACACGCACACACAGCTTGCCTGTTGATCAGCATGGCTGCCAATAAGAGACTGCTGTGCTGAAGGCTCTTATTGTGATGTTTAGAGCCCCTATGTTTAGCGCCAGGGGTTTTATTGCAACAGTACTGTCTGAAGCAGCCTTTCAAATATTGTACTCCACAAACTGCTTAAGCTTAAAAAAAAAAAAACTATTAAGGAGCTTTAAATTTGTAGGTAAAGCAATTATAATTAATTCATTTCTGTTCATCTCAAGACAATTTCCTGAATATCCAAATGAAATTATTTTACACAGGTGTCTGAAACGAGAAAACTGGACCATTTTCCAAAGCATTTCCCTATCTTGCAGTCCAAATAAAGGCATTAGAGCCAGCTAAACCAATCTGATAGCACGTCTAGAATAACACTGTAAATTTTATCATCTGCTGTTCTTAGACATTTAACAACCAATATACAAAGCGACAGACTGACGTGCAGATGGGTGCACTGGCCCAGTAAAGCCCCCTCGTGTGAAGACACCACCATCTGGGCCCACCTCCGTTCATTAGGACTATCTTCTCATTGGTGTATTTACCCATCTATTTACATATAACAAGCCGTCATCCAATCAGGAATGCACTGGCAAGAAACCTTTTCCAGAATAAGCTGAAAGCTGTGGTATGTTCTGAACCAAAAGTAAGATATACACCAGTCATCAAAAATATCTCAATTAACATGCAGATATTAATAGAAACACAAACTTGGCAAAACATGAGAATACAAATTACATTTACATTATAATTAAACATCAAAAATGGTTTACATTGAACAATCAGGTTAAATAATTCAATAATTTGGTGTGTGGTTCAACAGTTTAGGTCACAGTGCTTGTGATCAGAAGGTTGCAGGTTCAAATCCAAGCGTCAGCAGAGTGACTTTTACTGCTGGTCTTTGAGCACTCTGCTTACCTTGGTTGATCCTGGGACTGCCTGACCCTGCTATTTCCAAAACATACACTGTTTTGGATGAAAGTGCCCATTAAATAAATAAAATAAAAATGATGTGGTTTACCTAAGACGAGTTCATTATAATGAACAGAAACGCATTGTACTACTCTATGAGGGTGAATACTGCAACATATTCTAAAAATCATTCTATATCTGCTGTAGAACCTATATATGTACATATCTGATGACTCACCCAAGCCACCAAAAAAAAAAAAAAAAACACCAGCGACCTCATCTCTGTCTGTATCACAGGATACTTGGTGCTTAAGTCACCTGGGAGTGATTAACATCTGTTATCATTTCATTTAAACAGTATCCCAAACTTCTGGATCAAACGCTGCTGATTTTCCGTGGATGGTTTTATCCTAAGAAAGATGCCCAACGCTGATACGATTGCACCGTTGCAAATCACAGATAAAGCAGAAAGCATTTATGAAGTAGCTTTAAGAATTCTGCTCACAGCGGAGTGAAAACGCTGAGCACTTTGCCGGCTTTTCTATAATCTTATTACTTGTATCTGTAAAAGCCGAGTTGCCAAATGCGGGGGAAAGACTCACGACAGTAGCCAACAGGTCACCTGGAAGCAATACTAAGCTATTCTATAAAAAGTCTAATCCTTCCTCAAACCAAGGCTGACAACTAAAAAGGGAATATAATTCATCTGTGTGCACAGAGTGTGAATTACTCAGTCAGTAAGGAGAATCACAAGCATATGTTGTGAAAGCTTATTTCTGACAATTTGTTTGAAATCCAGTCAATCTGTGTATCTATGTTTCGGCAAACGATTAAAATGCAAGGATGCCAGTAAGAATGGAGGGACATAAAACTACCCTTTGCATTACTCATGTATTATGACACATTATAGATTTTTAAGTCATAATGGCAAATGTTAGAGAATGCATGACAAGGAACTGAAAACAAACAGACCGACTGCAAAAGAGAAGGATGAGAGAAAGGAGACTGACAACATAAAATTAGAGTTTGTCAAAGCTGAGCCACTGTGACAACCATCTGCTTCCCTGTAAAACTTGCTTATTCTGCATCTAGCACTCATAACAATCACTACCACTTGCCTCAATGCAAACTTGACCAAAGGCAGATCATAACACAACACAGCATAGCAAAGAATAGCCAGATTATAAAATCTAAAGATTGTGCCCGATTATAAACTTCTCTCAGTTCATAACAAAACAAATGACTGAGTCGTACTAAAGGAAACATACACCCATCCATAACCATGGAGAACAACACAAAATCAGGCAAACAGGCTACATCAAAATAAAAATCTATTTCTATACAAAATGACTAGCTGGGCCATAAAAACAGATCTAACCCTAATAAGCTAAAGTAAGCATAAACTAAGCCATAAAACTGATCCAGTGCCAACATATCAAGGTAAATGGAAACATGACGTACCTTGTCTTACGTTGCTCCAGTCCACAGCAGAGAAGAAGGGGTGGCAGAGCAAATCCTCGAACCCGAGCCGTTCCCGCACACCACAGAGCAGACTCTGCACCAAGTCCACAAATGGGCCACTTGCTTTGGAATCTTGAGGGAACTTGAGGTAGCGCTGGTGGAGGTGGGTCAGTTGTCACATGATCTCTATTGTCATCATTCTCAAAGATCCCAAAGGTGGCAAGTATGGAACTGCCTTCAAAAGGAGGGTTCCATCACTGATGCCACCAAACAAACTATCCATAGTCTCAAAGCTACCGTCTCATACAGATGACCAGCTTTTTGGAAAGTGAAAATCCCCCTACTTCTGTCACTCCTACCTGGAAATTCATGATGTTGTTGATGGTCTTGGTGGAGGTTCCTTCCGCAAAGGGAGACTTCATGTAGATCATTTCATAGGCAATGACCCCTAAGGACCACCAGTCACACTCCACCCCAAATGAAACCGGCACCCCCCCATTCAGTGCTCCCAGAACCTCAGGTGCCAGGAAGTCTTGAGTTCCCACGGGCAAACGAGAGGCAGAAACCTGTCAAATGGTTCAGTATGGTTAACGGCGCCATTCACTGCATCAGTGCTTCGACTTCATTACAATAAGAGCCACCCCCTACCCAAAAGAAAAAAGGGGGGAAAAACAGACCTACAGTCTTATAAATCTTTACACCCCCTGGCACTAACTGGTCCATGTTATTACCGTTTTATTGGCTGTGAGTCTGGCTGCAGATCCAAAGTCTGCCAACTTGATGTGTCCAGTTCTGTCAATCAGAACGTTCTCTGGCTTGACATCCCTGCCAGGGGAAAGGAGATGAGAATGCGGAAGACAGAGAAAGATAGACCTACATTAACTTCCTCCAGAAGCACAAAATCACTGTTGGGATATTACTATATAGAAAACAAAGGAAAGCTTTAAATGTGTCGTCCAACAGTTCATAAAGATTTTAGCATGTCCAATCCATCACAACCTCTGTAGAAAATGAAAACCCACTGCGCTGAGACAGAGGAGGTCAAACAAGCAGCATTCACTCACATCTTATTAAGCTGTTTTCAAGGTTTACTTGGAACCCATGTTGTACAGAGATTCCCTGAGAAATCTTGTTAGAGACTGCAACAGCAGAATACTAATCAAGGTGATGCTGTTAGCCTGCTGTGCGTGTGGGAGGGAGCTCCTCACTAAGAACCCCCACATTGTCCACATTTTTGCTCCCTGACAGAGAGTACACATTTTTGCTCCCTGCCAGACAGTACACATTTTTGCAAAAACGCAAACTACTGTCTGAGGGTCCCTGAAAACCGGCTTGAGAAACACTGATTTATTTTGACCTTTGAAGCTGTACTTTAAACGTCAGGAGACCCCTGAAGACTGACCTGTGGATGTAACCCAGCTGATGGACAGTGTGAATGGCCTGCACAAGCTCCGACAGGTAGAACTGTGCCATGGGCTCGTCAAACTGGTCCTCGTATCTGTTCATTAGTCCCATCAGATCCCCGCCGGGCAGGTACTCCATCACCTGCACAAATGCATACAGGTGACCAAGCTATGCAGTGTGTGTCCACATGGGGCGCCATTACATCCACCACACTAATCACGGTGATGTCACCTCAACTGATCAGACCTCTTCTGTAGGTGAAATGGAAACGGCAGGTTTATAGTAGTACATATTTAGACAATTTGTAATTAATAGATTGTAATAAACAGTAACAATAAAGAGTAAACAATAAAAAACAGTAAAAGTGCAAAGAATGTCAGGTTAAATATTGCAAAGAATTCCATAGTAAGGGCACAGAAATAAATAAAACTGCACAGTGGTTTTACGATGAATGAATGAATGTGCTGTGAATGTGAAATGTGCGTAAACAGTTCAGATCCATTCAGACAGTTGGTTGTCCGGCCTATCATAGGGTGAATCGCTGTAGAGCTTAAAGCCCAAAGGTAGGAACGACCTTATATAGCACTCTTTGGAGCAGCACAACTCCTCCTTTATCACCAGTCGCCACTACATCCAGACAGGCTTGCAGGACTGAGCCAGCTTCCTACACTCCTGAGTGATCCTAATGCTCAAAAGATTGCAGGGCAATATACAGTCACCCCCTCACATTTGCAAGGGTTCGGAGTAAAAAAAGTAATATATCGCCCCCCCCCCCAACCTCAAACCTCAGTCTGCAAGCCTGCCTAATAACGCAAAAGTCTAATGTTTTCATATATATATATATATATATATACAGTATATAATTATATATAAAATATATATATAAATATATAAAATTATATATAATCATATGACTTTATGTGATCCAATTGCTTTTCAATATTGTTTATATAATTTTGCCTCGCGTGTCATTGAATTTGTATGATCTTTCAGCAAGCTCCAAAAATATTCTCATTTCATTGTTCATGGCCAGCGGGCAAATAACCAAAACCGTAAATGTCAAATCTGTGACTGGAGGGGCGACTGCAGTGGGATTTCAGATATGACCAGTTTAGATATGAATAAACAACATCCCCATATAAAGAAAGGCAAAAATCAATACAACGCCTGAAAATTCACAGATGAACCATACAATTTTAGGGAGCATATAGTTATTAAATCAACTTCCTTAAACAGTAAAAGGAGTTTTTATAGGCTGAATAAAACATTTAAATACCATGGACACTGGCCACTTAGCATGGACCAATGGGCACTTAGCATTAGGGCTGGACAATTAATCAAAACGACATTCAGAACCTCTAATCGATGTAATCTTGCCCGTGTCGGTTACTTTAAAAAAAAAAAAATCTGTTATTAATACTTATTTAAAAACTATTAATACTTTTCCCAGTGAGTGTTCATGTGCTGTCCCCTTAAAAACATACTACCGACATGACTGCGACATGGAAGCTGCATGGAGGACATCTCAAACGCCAAACTGACTGAGCAACTCCAGCAGCTTGTACCAAAGAAGAATGTCATGACTTTAGTGAAAATGATGCTGAGCAAAACACGGTCAAAAATATACACTGCAAAAAAAGAGTTTCAGCTACCAATGGTAATACCACCAATTGGTTTCAACACTAGCAATATTTAAAATGCAGTGGAAACCACATATAGTGATCATGGTTATAGTGATCAACCACTTACATGGATCAAAAAGCTTGGGACATCATCATTCCTGTAGAAATAATTTTAACTAAATTATTTTAACTAGTTTAAATAATTAACTTATAGTAATCAAGTAGTCTTCTTACAGTGTTCATTTTGGATCTTTTTATACATAACATATGGAAAATTAAAACTATTCTTTTTTCTTTTAACTTTACTTTACTTTGATAGACCCACTTTGCCTTGCGGTGACCTGTCTGCTTCTGGCTAGCAACCTGAGGCTAATGCTGTGCGCACAGAAATCATGATGGGAAAATTATTTTCTCTCCATTATGAATATACACTCATCAAAGCTTGTGATAAACCACCAAAAACGAGCCAACGAGACGCAGTAGCCAAACTACAATAAGCTATATTTTATGTACAGTACTGTACTGTATTATAGCGTATTTGAATGATACACAGTTCAGCAATTTAATTTGTGCAGTACTGTAATTTGAAAACAGTTTGAAATAGCTGCAGTGTTTTGAAATTGCGAAAAATTAAGTAAACAGCAACGCTGTTTGTTTAATTACCTTATATTCATGTAATAAAATTACAAATGTCAGTTAGTAATCTGTAGGTTATCTGCCTGAGACAAAGGGGAAAAAAATCAGTTAATTGTCATCTGTTTATAGTGATCAATTTCACCCAGACAGATGTGACAAATATAAACGGTTTATCTTGTTTGCAAGAAATGCAAACTATTTTCTATTTATTTTAGGGAACTTGTTTTTACATTAAAATGTAACGTTTTTCATAAGACGTTGTCATTTCAAGCGATTTGTGCTTTTATTTCAGTTGTTCGAAATATTCAATGAATAATCATAAATGGCTAATCTGTGTGTGCTTCCTTCACTTAGTTTAAAATCATTAGAAAAAATATCCCAGCTGTAACAGTTGAGCATATTTACAGTCAAACCTTGTCAATGACATATGAGGGCAAAAAAAATAAATAACTGTTCATTAATCGTAATCGAGGTGAAATTTTCAGCTAATCGTGATACTGATTTGATGTCATATCGCTAAGCCTTATTTTGATACTGAGTTTGGTCCATACATCAATAAGGATTAATTACGGCAAAATTCCTAAATGTAACAGCCCTATCGCTCTGCAAAAATCACACACACATCTGTATATTAGCTACAAATATGGTCAGCATGTAACATTCTATACTGCGCGCACGTGTGTGTGTATGTGCATGCACACATTTGACTGTGTGCGCACCAGCTGCAGACAGTATCAGAATAATGCACACACCCACTCAGCAACCACAGTGTAACTTCAGATAAGACCCGTTTGAGTTACATTATGGATACTGAAGGGAGGACTGGGGCAGACCCATCGACGGCTATACAGAAACATGCTGGTGACGTCTCCTAGCAACAAGGTACTGTCAGTCCTCTGAGCCAAACACTCAGGCAGAAACTGATTCTGTACATTTCCGCCATTGGATGTGGAGGGTGATGGGGGATGGGCCCGATTAAACGCTTCACAATAGTGATGCGCAGTCAAATGCTGTTTTGTTTTTTTTTCTGAAACAAAGCAATCACTAGATATGAGAGTCCAAAATGAAATCACAAACACATCAAATGAACATAAGTGCAAATAGATAATCCACCAATCATCAATCAACAACAATAAGCAGTAATGAACAAAAATGAAAAGAATTCAGACATAAATAACAAGCGATGGACACAAGCCACACTGTTTTACATGGGCTGCTAAGGGCTGTAGCACATTCAGACGTCCTGCGCCCTGGAGCACCATCTCCTCTGCAGGCACCAGTCCCAGCACGGAGCAAACCCCATATTATGGAATGCTGATCATGGCCCAGAGGAGTAATGGGGCAATAAACAGATTGGATGGCATCCAATTACAGCTGAACATATTCAAGAGTGGCTTCCTTCCCTGACTCATAGCTGCGCTGTGCTGGCTGTGACTTTGGCTGCATCTGCAGTGACCAGCATATGAGAGGGCCAGGCTCTGCCAACAGCAGACTTTCAGTATATAATAACAATATGGCCACGCCCTTCACATCACTAATGAGCATAATGCTCTAATCTGGGTAAACTGCACAAGTTATTCATAAGAAAAGGAAAAGGGAGACGCCTAGCCCCATTTAAAAAAAAAAAAAAGAGTATCTGACCAGCAAGAGCTTATATAAAACAGATAAGATCTCTGTGAATAGAACAGTGGTCAAGTAATCCTCCTAATCCCAGAGTAACAGCCAGTCTGGTGCATCTGCAGAAGCCGGTCCAATAGGGGTCAAATATGTGTCTAAGGAAGTTGTGTAACATAAACATTATACACAGAACTGTTACTTACATCTTCCTCCTAACACAAATGTGCACACACGCATATATACTCACAGCTAAGCAGGAATATACAAAACCCTTTATTCCTCGGCAGAATCAATCTATACTTTCACCACACGAAAGGCTCCAAAGCACATGCAATACAACATTACAATGAGCAGTAGCATCTCCAGCAGATAAGATCCATTCATTAGTTTCAGGTGACATCTGGGGGGGGATTTGTAGCCCCTCAAAAGCAGGCATGAAAATCGAAACGAAGAGTACAGTGCGAAAATAATCGAATAACGCTATTCTCTATCACTTTTCACACAGCCCGAAAAAATATTAGAGAACATTAGAAACCATGCCAACATTACCAGAATACAACACAGCACCTTCACCCAATTCCAACATATAGCCCGGACACTCACCAGGTAGAGCCTGTCCTTGTCCTGGAAGGCGTGTTGCAGCCGTGGGATCCAAGGGCTGGAGCTCAAAGCAAGTAAAGTCCGTTCCTCCTCAAAACAGGCCACCTGCGGGGAGCCGGGCAGTCAGCTGCAGAGGAGCGTGATTGGCCACTGCCTGCTAGCACACGCATACAGTGAACTGTCCTGACTTCACAATAACAGAGAAAAGTATAAGAAAGTAAGAAACGACAGTCATGTATGATTTACTGCCTCAATATTACTCATAATGCCAGAGCTAACCACTGCAAAATAGCCATTAGGTTAACATGTCCTGGAAAACCTACATACATTACATTTTGTTAAGGAGCCAAACAAAAAGAAATACCCCCAAACATGACAGAAAGACAGAATAGCTACCATTTCTCTAGTTCTTACAGGATTACAAGTAAACTTTAATAATTTCTACCTTATTAGCTTTTTTTTAATTAGCTGAAAATGGTTTTACTGAATATTATGTGTAGTAGTTCTCAAATACAGACTGTCCCCGATTTACGACTGGGTTCCACACCAACAGGCAGGTTCCACGTCAAAGAGGACGGATATTGGAATAAGACAAGCACACTGACTTTTAGGAGTGAGAACGGGACTGGGAGATATGTGTGATGCTGGGATGTTCGCCCTGCCATGTAGTACAGTACTTTTATACAGTGTACAGTGTGCAGTGTCCACTAGGTAGGATAGGGTCACTGCCCGTACAGCTACCCTAAATTTATTTTATATACATTTATTTGTTTTTTTACTTTGGTTGTATGTAGGGCTGCACAATACTGAGCATTTTCAAATACTGCGATGTAATTTTTTTTTGCTGAGATAAATATTGAGATTTTTACAAAGCAAAAAGTTTCAAAATAAAAATTTTCACAAACCCATCTACAATCAATTATATATAAGCAATTTAAACAGCAAGGATGAAATGATTGTCTCAGAGAGCACATGCAGAGCTCATGCAAAACCAGATGCAGTAAATTTTAAACTGATTTTTAACATGTACTAGATCATCTTGAAAAGGAATAATCATAATTGCAGAGCTTGCTATGTTTTGTTTCCTATCACAGAGTAAAAATGTTTTAGCGAAACGTAGATCCACCACGCTCTGGCAACTAGCGTTTTGGTGGTGTAATTGCAGAGTGACATAAACACACCAATGCACAAGTACAAATGCTTGAAACACCATAGACCACTTGCGTAGGCTACAGTGTAAGCTCAGTGCTGAAGTATAAATCAACCCAGCTGACTATTGTGGTCCTTGTGATGTGAGAATTGCATATGCATAAAATGCAGTGTCATACTAATATCACATATCGCCCAGACCTAATTGTGATTCCTGGTTCACTGTGCTTGAAGAACCTGCATGTCACTCATTAGTGTAACCAAAAACCTTTAAATCAAAGTTAATTATATCAGACTGACTTTTCTTGTAAATTAGTCATGGAAAATGACTGCAATTAATCCTGCGATGTGATTATTGCACATGTGCACATCGCAATGACGATGCTGAAACGACATATCCTGTACCTTTAGTCACAGCGCAAATCAGAATAATCGCATATGTTGTAAGTCAGGAGTAGTCTGTAAGTGAAGAATCTTAATGAAATGTCTTGTAATGTTTTAGTCATCCTTTGATTAGCTCAGACAGTGCTAACAGTGTAACAATCCACACGGCTGCTGCTCACGTTTTCCATCGAGCGCAGGCAGGCCTTCTCCATGACCTTCATGGCGTACACGTCCCCTGTTGCTCTCTCCCTCACCACACGCACCTCAGCAAACTGGCCCCGCCCCACAACACCGCACAGGTCGAAGTCCTCCAGCCCTGGCTGCAGCTCCCGCAGCTCTGCCACCACATTAGTGTCTGTCCACCAGGCAGGTGAAAACAAAGAAAACCCAATTATCACAAGTGAACAGCATGTAAAGGCAGGATGGATGACCGATTTCATGCATTTCTTTTCCCTTTTGCCAAGATGAGTGATGCTTCAGTATGAATTTAATTCATTTGCAGTGTAAGACAATCTGAACGATACAACTCAGATCAACTGAATACATTTTAAAGTATTAAAAACTGACAGTATAAGGCAACGTCATCATGTTAGATTTACAAGTCCCACTCATCTCACACTAAAAGAGGAGATACTTTACATTTGTTGACAAACTTGGCAATGTGCTTGATCTTCATGAGCTCTGGGGAGCTGCACTCCTCGTACAGCAGGAGCAGGGCATCAAGAAGCCCTTCGCGTGTCATACTGCTGTCAGTCTGCCGACCCTGCAAGCTGCCTTTTCCCTGGTATGGAGGATGTAGAAAAAATGCCCAAAACACTCCATATTTGCATGGTGAACAGTAGTCAGATGTCAGCAACCCCTTTGACTTCATTAAATGTTTATTATTATTAGGAAGGGGAATATTCATAATTCTTCTTAAAATGTAAACAAAACAGATAATCAGTATTTTTGGTATGCTCTACAATTCATATGCTTTCAGATTCATTTTATGTCGAATTTGGATTTAAAACGTTTTCATTTCCTAATCTTACTACCTCCAATAAGACACCAACACGATGACCGTAGCACTGTTTCCGTCCCAAAAGCTGCCCAAAGCCCTTTTCCTTAGTATAACAGTACAGCGTACTATATATGTCAGTCTAGAAGTAAACAAAACTACACGTTTACCTGCAAAAGATGATTGAGGCGGCTGCAGCGGCTAGTAATCGGATCCATAGCGACCAGATTGGTGTTGCTATTCGCCCCATATTTGAATTTCAGCATTGTTCCGCAGTAATCTTAAACCAACCTAAAGAAGAGAGATAAGCTCAGACTGACTAGCCAGCTACTTATGTTAAAACGACGTTAAATAAAACTCTTTAGGATAAATCACTGGTGTTGGAAAAGCATTGCAAAACATATTTTAAAATGTACAGACAGCACATCTATAACCAGTTAGTTAGTTCTGTAGCCAGTTAGCTCGCTTACAGCAACCATGCAAATCCCATCGGTTTAATAAACTATGCAAAAACCAAAACCAATTTGATAATAGATTATATCTTCATATTCACCTAAGGAATCTATATCAAATTATTACTCGGTTTGCTTTCATCTAGGTGAGCAAGACTGGAAAACAATACCCAAATGCGTATTCAAAGGATCTCTTACAACCTACCGCAACGTTCCTTCCTGAAAACATTCAAATTTTGCGCGTTTTGCTTGACAGTTCCTCCAAGTGACGTCAGCACGCCACGTATTACGTTTACGCTTGCGTCTCTCGGAAATACTATTCAACATGCTATTTAATTTCCTACCCTCTGCAGGTGGCGCTAGTAGCCTAAAATATCCCCGCTCGTTGCTAAGGTGGAGTTTTACCTGTCCGGGAACTGCTTAATAAAGGAAACTAAGTACTGTAAATACTATAACTACAAAATGAATGATGCAGGTGTTACTTTGAAATCGAAATGGTCCGCGTTCTTGATATCACAATTGCAATGTATTAATATATATATTCTTTCAGTTGGCAGTTTATAAGATCGTTCACTTCTTTAGCCCACTAGGATGGATAAACTATATCTTCAAATAACTTAACGGCCGTAACGGTCACCTAGTGAGAAGCAGCCCGTGACCTAGTTATTTGGCGACAATTGCAATTAAACAAATACAATTAAAACGAGGCAGACCGTAAAGCGCATCCCTGTGTTTTGAAAGGTTGTGGTAAATTTACTTTGTGCCATGAACACATGAAAGTGCCATTAAAGGAGAATATGCGACATGACTACGCGTCATGATTTTTTTAAAGTAGCCATGCTATTTGCCACCGGCAGTGCCAACTACCGTTTTATAGAGTTCTCAGTAGGCAGAGGGGTAATGAGTAAAATTAAGGGTTTAGGTCACTGGAGGGAGGGCAAATGAAATATTTTGCTATCAGATTGTTAAACTAATACATTTCAACTGCAATTTTCGCGTTGTCTTCTGAAGTTCTGATATGATGACCGCTGAAACGATCGCCCATGTTTCATTGAAGTAAAACGGTTTGTTTTAGCTAGGCTGTATTTATCTGAAAAAGAAATCTGCCAACATGCTGGGTGTAACCGTGTAAACTCCATTCAATAATCTAACCAAAAGAAAACTTTTTAAGAAGAGCTTCGCCGCCTCCAAGTTAAGGGTAGGGGCAACTCCCACACTAAATAGGTTTTTAAAGTTTTAACACCGGAGGTAAAGTTGCTTCCTAGAAATAAGAAACTGGTAATATTTTACTATTTTGTGACATCTCATATTACAGAAAACCGTGTCCGCTTGTCCAGCTCAGATTAAATCCCCTTCCAAGAGGCCAGGCCAGCAGCGGCTAATTTAAAATGGTGTGACGCTGGAAGCTTAGGGGCGGCTTATGGCTACGGAGGCGGGCAGCGCTTCAGTCGCATGTTTCATTCTTCACGTCTCATAAGGGACGGGGCTGTAAATACCTCCTTTGTAAAAGACAGCGAATATGGGAAACTTCCAGGGCTCGAAATGAATTACCTCCCGCGGACTGCCATATTAAAAGTTATATGGTTTATTTTATATAGTTTATTTTTACGTAGGATATACAGTACAATACCTCGGCGAATAGTAATTACAGTGCATTGCAGTACTTATATTAGCGGTGTTATCAAATAGCCTATACGTAATAATTATAAAAAAGAACAAAAACCTATTTTGCAATTATTCCTATGTTAATAAACTCGAATCAAATGAGAGGGGCGCGTATACGTCGTGAGAGCATGTTACAGTTGAGTTAAATTAGCTCTGTTGAGTTTATTTTATCCGCCAGCTCGGCTATGTCAGCTTTCTTCTTTGACCTGCACTCTAACGCCGGCGAGACTTCAGCACCGTGGGAGCTGGATAGCGACTGTATGGAGCCCCCCGAGGACAAGGGACCCTCCCGGGAGGCGGCTGTGTTCCGGGGGCGCTCGCACCCTTGTACCAGCCGTAGTGATCTGGATATAGAGCTGGAACAGGAGCTGGACTTGCTTATTGGCGACTGTGGAGAAGCTGCAGATTTATCCGGTCTGGAAACCAACTTATTGACGCTCTTCCGACGAAAAGAAAAGGATTTAATCTTGGCCGCCAAGATTGGGAAAACATTACTGGAGCGAAACGAAGAGCTGACTAAGCAATATGAAAACATACACAGAAACCTTAATGAAAGACTAGAGGTAAAATAAATGTTTTTTTATGTATTCCCTATCTGCAGTCCTTTTAAAACTTGCATAATTAAGCTTGGTTAAAAAGTTGCTTAAGCGAGTAGGCTACGCTAAGTTAGTTAATAGTTTATAGTTGCAAACCACCTATTAAAATGTATCATGCTGGTTATATTTACTTCATATATTTACTTAAAAATTGTGGAAACACGTATATAGCATTTTTGACATTACGCTTTAAAAATTACTACATGAATACTGGCGGTAATGTTTATGAACAACCGAAGAAAGTTACAAATATACATTGGACGATTAAATAAGTGACTGGAGCAATAGTTAAAGTTATGCAACCTCTAAAAATTGGAAGTGTTTCCACAATTTTGGCCATAGTGTATCTGCCACGAGATACACTGTGCAATTACCTATTAATCCAACAACACCTAATACACGTCAGCTTGGAAAATACCATCTAAATGTACGTAGTAGTAGTTATGGTTACGTCATCCCATGTCCCATTACGCACAGATTCTCCTTCTTACCCTTTACATTAGGTAATGACCGAAATTAGACTTTTATCTTGAACATATTCAAGATTCGTTTAGATCAGGGGTCTCAAACTCCAGTCCTGTGTAGCTTAGTTCTTTCCCTGTTCTACCACAAATGATAATGTAATGTAATATCCACAAGGAGTTGAATCAGGTGTGTTAAATGAGGGTGAACCAAAAACTGTGTAGGGCTCCGGCCCCCCAGGACTGGAGTTTGAGACCCCTGTTTTAGATCCTCAAGAAAAGCGGTATCCTAGGTAATAGGTACTACTTTTCTTGGGTATTTGTCTAGGTCCGTAATGTATTTTACGTGAGAAAAATCCATTCACTTTAGCAATTAAATCCAGACTCACAAACAGCTCACACAGCTCCATCTCAGGCATCATCTCTTTGACTTCTCTGTAAGTCTCATATTATCTGCACTACATTATTTAACCAGTTCCTCAAAACTATCATCTAAATCTTTGTCCAGCACCTTTCTCACTACAACTAGAAACAATAAAGAAAAAGGCAACCTATGCTCTTTAGTGTATATAATCGCTATATCGTCGCCGTTTCTATATAATCGCTCACTGGACATATGGAAAATCAAAAATGCCATCAGTCTGTATCATGGACAAAATCTGACATCTCACGGCTAAAACCACATCACTGCAAATCCATATTCTTGTGTAGTTCCAAAGGAGCAATACAACTGTTCTTATTTTGTGCTTTATAATTGCTAAGTGCTCTTTGGCATTCCATTGTGAAGGGCACTATACTGTACTTGGGCAAGGTTTGTACTTTTCACTCAATAGTTCTCAGCGGTAGTGGGAGATCACGCAGGCCACAACCACCAAGGCATGATATGTTTGTGAAGTTCACTTCATCACTCTTTCACTGCATTATAGCTTTAGACCAGTACTGGGTGTATATTCACCTCATTTCCATTTGCTGTTGTGGCTCCATTACTTCAGGCCATGATACTGCGTTGTGGTTGCAGAATGCACTTAATGTATCTTCTAATTAATGCCATTTGCTTTCATTTTATCTCCCTGCTGAACAATCCATCCACCTTCAATTAGGCCACTCGTATTAATTATACTACATAATTCTGGACACACTCAAAATCATGCTTCCTTCCACTGGCTCCTCCTTATCTCCAAGTGCTCTCTCCTGCCCCCAGCAGACGGAGCAGGAGCGGCATGAGCTGCGGCGGCGGCTGGAGGCCAGGCAGGGGGAGTGGGAGGCCCGTGTGGCCGAGCTGGAGATGGACCTGCAGCAGCTGCAGGGCAAGCTGGAGCTCCAGCAGGCCCGCGCCCGTGAGCTGGACCGCGAGAAGAACCAGGCTGTCACCGAGCTCTTGGAGCAGAACCACAAGCTGCTGGAACAGCTGAGCAGGGTCAGTACCTTACGGCTTACTTGGTGAGGAGGGATGATGGGATTTGTGGTGTGATTAAGGTGACAAAGGTGTCACAGAGTAGCTTATGGCGCAGTGTCCAGGTCATGGGGTCACTCTGGCCCCGTTTTGGACCTGCGCAGCTGGGAGAACAGCTACTTGCTGGATCAAACATAGGGCCGACGCTGCTGATGCACTACGTGGTGAGCCAGGTATTTGCTCTGTTGAGGTAAGCAGAAAGCTGTTCCCTAACGCACCTAATATATGCATGCTTAATGGCATACAGACAGGGGAATGTCCTTCTGGGAGAACCAGGTGCTGCAGAGCTGAGCAGCAGTATTTTAATTTTAAACACTGCCTTATGTGTTGTTTTCGTAGAGGCCAGTTTGCTTGCCTGTTTTTGCCTTTACATTAACCTTAGGGAATCACTACTCCAGAGATACTCAGGTGGGATTCCTGTTCCATTAAGCAACACACACAAACACACATACACGCAACATGTTAAGCAGTCAGGAATATATCAGCAAGTGACCAAGTCAAAATGGCTATATTTGATCAACGTAAACAAAATTTCAGTTAATCATCTGTCTCAAATAAATATAACTATATTGCACACATTTGACCGCTACTGGATGCCACTGTCTCCACAGATTGAGTAATCTATTGGATTCTGGCACAATGGCTCTGTTAAGTGGACAAAAATGAGTTGAATTCGAACCCTAAGAGACCTCTCCGAGAAATAGCTGTCTGGGCTACTGTCCGATAATCTGCACTGGCCGTCGTTTCCTAAGGACAACCATATATCCTGGCCTCACTAGGATTAAACAAATCTCTCTGTGAATACTTGACATGAAATGGAGAGGTTTTAACATCGCAAAGCCAGCTTTTATTATGTTTATAATATAGTTTTATATTTCATATATATTATATTTCATACAGTACTGTACTCCACTGGTATTTATTTGAGGTACTGAGGTATATGAATGCTAATTAATTAATTCACAGAGTGATCGCATAGCCTGATTAATGAAATCCCTCACTGAGAACTACACTGTTCTCTGATACAGAAAGCTGGGGCTTGTTTTCATCCTCACCCACGCTGCACCTTCCTAAACAAGAAAATAAACCTGTCTGAGCCACAGAAACCCAAGTACCAGACAGGTACTGCTTTCAAAAGACCTGGTGCCCAGCTGGCAGCTCACTCCCATAATGTGAACAGGGGCAGAAACAAGGGCAGTATCTAATAACCATAACGAGTACAACTTCTGACCACTACAGCCCCTGGAAAACCCTGAAGCACAGCCAAATGGTTTTATTAACCTTCTTTTTTTTGCTTTTCTAAATGCCAGGCTATGTGTGGGCTTTTTATTGAGTTGATGTTAATGATTTGATCACAATAACACAATACACAATAGAGGCACTGAGCAATTAAAACGGTGACACGGCAACAGAAACAGCCTGTGTGAATAATTAAATGCTGCAAGTAACCCACAGGTAATGTGGATGGGAAGCGGCTCAGAAAATGCTCTCTGTCAGTCACCCACCCGGTCTGATCTGTACAGCCAGCCAGCACATAGACTGAAGGACACAGCAGAGAGGAGATTAGCCACAATCTGAAATACTTCCCGCTCTGTTTTTGCTGAAGGCTACGGACCACATGTACACCCAGCCGCACCGAACCTTTGTGCTGTGGGTTTGATCTGGCCAATCGGTATGAGGAAAGGAGATTTTCAGCTATCTGCAGATATATCTAACCAGCCGTGCTTGTAGCATTACCTGCATCCTGCTGTGTTCTTGTACGCTGCCACATAACTGATCAGCTCCCAAGATATTTAGAATGGTTTCTTAAGTATCAAATGGGCAAATTAAACAGCAAAAAATAAGAGGTGAAAAGCTGGTGCATGGATTTGATATATAAACTATTTGCTTGCTTTCATTAAACTAAATTTACATCTATAAACTACTATCATTGTGGCTCTACTTTTTTCACACTTTGCTGATCAGGTGTGTCAAATCGTCTATATTTTCCATGCATCATGGACTTATGCATGTGCAGGGGTTAATACAGGCCTATACCATCCATTTATCAGTTATCCAGGAATGCAATGGAGTACTGGTCACTCTGGATGGTACCCGAGTCCATCACAAGGCATATACACTATGAGCAATTTACAAACACCAGGATTCAAACCCTCTCCCTGGAGGTCTGAGGCTACAGTGCCTTTTTTATTTTTTATAAAACAACATCACATAAATTTGGATTTGGATGTTTTTGTTCTAGAAATAGGATTCCTAATATTTGTCACACTGAATGCTCAGTGTTTGTATGTGCATGTTGCTATAATCCAATAGCTAGTCGGAATTTAAGTGAAACAATTACACCAGATCACAATTTTTTGTGACCCTTGTCATGCAGCTCCTGTTGCTATGACAATCAATAAATTGGGTCACAGGTTTGTTCATTTTCCGTTTCACTTGGTCAACACAATTCACCAAAATCATTTTAAAATCTCAAGACGCATATAAACACACTTCTACAGCCCCAAAATGATATATTTTACCAGTTGCCAATACAAAATATTTCTGTTTAAAATGAATTATAAGATTGAGGAATATAAAGGACAAAAACCGGAAAAAACACAGAACATACATATAAGCATATGTTTTGTTAGTCAGCGTTACCCTGCTAATCCTGCTGTAAAGCACTGTGAATTGTGATGCTGCTGTGACTTCAGAAGTCATTTTCCTTTTGTATCTATGCTGGTAAGACCAAGCCACACTGCCTCTGCAGTCTGCTCATTAGTATTAAAGGTTGCTCTTCCTTTTCAGTGTAACCAACCGGCATGCTGGGACAATACACCTCTCAAGTAAAACATGGAATACACTGTTGTAGAAAATTTTGTCTGCTTCTTATTTTATCTCAGCTATAATTTGTCATCATAACACAAAAAATTAATGATTACTGGTATAAAAAGAAGTTTATCACTGTTAAATCTGTTTTTAAATATTAGATATATACATAGTTTTAAAATTCTGCAATTATAAAATTATTATTTAAGCATAGAATACCATGCACTATCCAATTTTGGATTCTACAAAATAATTCTTAATAAAAGAGGGACTCAGATCTGGGGTTACCACGGAGACAGCTGCTGCTAGAACCATACAAGAAAGAACAGCATGCAGTCGCACTGACTGCAGCCACAGAGACTGCAGTCTTACATATGCTAATGCAGAGATTGCAAAAACACTAGACCTTCCTTTCAGGGGGAGGGACTAAAATGTGGTCTGATCCAGTATCGTACAATCAGCAGCCAAGATTGGTAGTTAAGTTTATCTGCATTAACAGCATACGAGGAAATAAAGTTATGTGTAAAATAAGACTAAATTAAAAGAATGTACTGGTGTTAAATTCATACACAGAATGAGGAATACAAAGAAGTTAATGTTCAGAAAAGTGGATCTTTGTTAAAAAGCACAATTAGCATTTATTTGAATTTTTTGTGAGATTTTACAACTGAGATTACTGACTGAGGTGATGCCAATTACTAGTATGTAGAAAAGACGTTGTAATTTACAACTAGCTATCGGGCACATTTAATGAATATGACCAAGTTAAAAATGGCCACAGTTAAATAACTGTGAAGACTGAGCACTGAGTGCTTATTGTACTTAAAGGTAGGAAGTGGACTTCTGTGGCCAGGAGTCACAGAAATTAATGTGCAGGTAAAGGCAGGCAAATGACTGTGAAACCGAAATCATGACTGAGGGGGCTGGCCGATGCGAAGTAAGTGCAGAAGCCGCAACTGGGAAGACACAGCATGTGCTGCTGAGATCAGCGAGGCCGGGCGGAGTGTCACTGAGGAACGCAGATGCATGTGTGAGACACTACACCCGTCACCTATGGTGGCACTGGTGGAGGTCTGTGTGCCCATGGGCTGCTTACACCAGGGGAGGGGGCCGCAGTGGTCACCCTTAATAAGGCTACCAACTGCAATGGAGTGGGCCTGGGTTCACAGCTGGTCTTTCGCCCAAACTCCTGCATACAAAGCACTCCGAAGCGTGGGGGAAATGGGGCTTGAGGTGTTTCTGCAGAGGAGCGTTAAGAATCCACTCCTCCCCTGTCCTTAAGCCCCTGATGTTCTCTCTGAAAGTTCTCTTTCCTTACAAAGCAGGATTATGTAAAAATTTGTTGATTTTAATTGTGATTTACTTACTGGAAACTTCAGGCAGTTTTGAGTTGACTGCTACTGCTGGAATCAGTTCAACAAGACATGATCCCTATGCTTTTTGTTGAATTTTCAGGTGCCATCTCGCTGATTTGTGGATCTGTGTACCCAGACAGATTAATATATCAATTTTAAGGGAGTGGCACCACAATAGCCCACACTGCTACAGTACATCTTACATCACAACCTGACATCCAGTTACTAATCCTTTCTCAAGAGTGGTTCAGGGCAACCCAGCCCTGTAGGTTAACAGACTGTGTCAACCGATATTCTAAATTCTGACCCACTGTGAGGGAAACAGCAGCAAAAATAAATCTGCACAGTGATCATACTGGGCCATTCATGATACAACTGGGGTTGACAGCCAAATGTAAGTAGCTTGGACAACCCAGTTACACGTCCATTTAATAATGGACGATAGAATGTTTTGGCAAAATGATCAATTGAAATTAAAAGTGTCGGAGGATAGGCCGTACACTAAGCCAGCAATCTGCCAGGGATGTCGTTTGCTCTTCCCAGCCATTGGTGTCTTGCTGCTGAGTTTACCTCTATATCACACAGTCACACCACTTTCTTCTAGGCGACAGAAGCCGAGAGGGTGCTGTCCACCCAGGTCCAGGTGCTGCGGGAAGACTTCAGGAAGAAGAACATCTCCATCAATCAGCACATTTCTCGTCTTGAAAGCCTACAAGCTGAGGTGAGAAAATTTTTAAGAATCCTATTCCTGTTGTAGCATATGTTTCGTCCTGTAGTGGGTGTCGCAACGTGCTGTAATCAGCTCGCGCCCTTTATACCTACATAGGTAATGCTTTCTCATATTTTATCATTTTCGGATTAATAAAGCAAATGAAATGACAAACCGCTTCAGCTGAAAACAGTGTATTTTGCAGTTCAAATGGTCAGCTGGCTGGCGTTAGTTTTTCAATTCGAGACAAGTCTGCACACATATTTCTGGCGTGAGCGAAAGTGCGTCAAGCCAGATGCGTGAGAGTTAACTTGAAACAGTTATTCAGTTGTACAGTTTAAAAAACGTAAACTTTGACGAACATAAAATCACCAATAAGCTACGTCTGCTCATCCAACATTTTATAAAATACTGTGTTTGAAAATGTTGAAGCGTTACCATGTCAGGACAGAGCAGCCGCTGCAGACACAGCAGTACCGAAGTACGACAGGCTTGGAGGTTAACGGAGTTTGACGTTCATTGGTATGGGAAAAGGGCGGGTCTAGTGTTAATTGGGCAATTGTGACTTTTACCAGGCAACTTGCATTATGGCAGCGGCACATATATATGCTGATTTAGCAAATGTTTTACTTTTTAATTTGCTGTTACATGTATATGTAACCATGTCGTTTTGTTTAATGTGTATAATTACACAAAATAGGTTTATTTTGAATTTGTTAATTTGATATCGCCACACCACGTCAGAGTGTGTTAAAAATTCACAACGCAGATAAACCGGTTCCATAAACTATATAAGGACAAGTATTCAGATGACAACTGAAGCTTTGAAGAAAATTAAGCGCTTTATTTTTTTTTAATAAGGCTGTTGACTTATCACAGTGTTAACGGTATAGGCCTACTGCAAATCCATATAATCACACCGGTAATGACTATGGCACCGGTGTTCCGCCCACTCCAACATCAACACTATAGGAATCTTTAATTTACCTGAAATAAAAACAGAGAAAAACGCTATACATATAAAATGTATAATCATACGTAATAATAAAATATTTTTAACCACATTCTGTGTGACCCACTGGAACTGGTCCCATGAGATACAGGGGTTTGGCGGAAACATTATAGCATGAAATGATCCTAATAATAGGAGAGTGTGGTCAAATCATCTCAAACTCCACTTCAGCGTTTCCTTTCCACGGGTGTCCTTGTACGCGCACCATGCACCATATTTCTGTCCTTAAATGGAGCAGAAAAAGGTCCATCTGTATGCCTGTAAGCCTTTCTGTGATGGACTGGTTTCTCCACTGGCTTTGCATGAGCTTATGATTAAGGATTGTCTGAGTGCTGCTAGGGATGAGATTCATCCAGACTCAACTGCACATCCATCAGAAAGACATGCTGTATGTCTCCCGCTCTGTATGTGTCAGATTCAATCATCTGCCCCATGTCATTGTCCATAATGATTAATAAGTATAACTTACAGCTATGCTTTTCTCTAAATTTCCTTCCCAGTTGTTAATCATATCGAATTGCAAATCTGTCTCTCATGTCAGCAATGTCATCCCCATGTCCCAGATAGCAAAACTTCATCAGCTCACAGTTTGGTAGCAGTTCTGCTCTCTTTTCATGCTGCGTGTATCACAGAACATCGAGCAAGAAACCGAGGCAACTTAGCCCCCAGTCACTCAACAGACAAACGAAGCCAGTAACTGCTGCCGTTTGAGAACCTGTTACTGATAAGATCCTCCAACTTAAGCAGAACCATGTCAATGTTCTGGTCCTGGTTACAGTCGTCACCATCGTTCATTTAAATAGTAGTTGGTTTACAAAAACATATTCATCTTACATCTTCTACAACCCAGAACCTTAGAAACGAACAATCTGTGAGGTGAAGTGTCTTCAAAACCAGACTCAGTTGTAATGCCAGTGATGTGTAACCAACCACAATTTTCCCTGTGAATGCAGGACTAAAAATAAAGAATTAAAGTGCATCTAAAACACTTGAGATTAACAAGCACCAGTTGGTACCAGAAAGAAAAATTTGAAAATTGACCAAAGTCAGAATGTTTTATTTTGATACCGAACAAAAACACACACAAAACAAAACACATTTTTGAGACATGGCTATTGGAGTACCTCCTGACCTGATGAGTTGGGGCCTCACTTTCATTTGTACAGCAGATTTCCACTGTTGATGGTGGGATTTCACTATAAATCTTGTGGAAAAACATTATTTTGGTACCTAGTTTAGTGGGGTTTTTTGTAGGCTTCTGTTAGAAAATTGAAGGTGAAACTGACCAATATTTTAGCCAAAGAATGCTTAAACGCATTTCAATGAATAATTCCAGTGCAGTTGAAAAAAATAAATACGATAAATAACAAGGCATATTTTGGCAAAAAAAATAAATAAATAAGAATGATATCCTAGGATAGAAAACGATGCATAATAAATATCTTTAATATTTGTGGAAAAATACTTAACAGTCACATTTCTGGTCAGAGTTGGACCTGAAGTGTTTTGGGCCAGTTTTTACACTTTGCTCCTGTCAACACACATACCTGCTGGTGTTGGTTATAGTAGCAAGGAGGAATCACTGAAATGCCTTTTAACTGCATTTCTGTGTTAAAAAGAGAGGGAAATACAGAGCAGTATTCAACCGCACAAAAATAAAATGAAGCTACAAGCTTTCTCTATAGCTGAAATCTGTATCTTGCCATACATAAATGTTTCCAAAAAAATGTCGGGGGAGGATAGGTCACTTGTAATCCACGGGCGGGATTCCCTCAGTCAAACGTTACGAGAAGACTGGAATACTGGTGAGATGGTCATTTCTTTTCAACGGATTCCTTTTTAATTCCAAGAAGGCTGCGCCTCTTCTTTTTACGCTAGTGACTGAGGACTCAAACTTTTTGCTGGCATTTTTAATATATTCTAGAAATTTGTCTTACCATCAGACCAGCAACACTTTCAAAATGCCTGCTCTGTGTTTGACCCAGCATGCCTCGTATCACGAAAATTAATTCGTTCCACAATTATAAGGGACTTTCACACACCCCGCCTACTCTTTCCCTAGATACGGTGTCTTTCTGAAAGAAAGAGAGAGCTGGAGCGGAGGATGAACGCCGTGCGAAGGGAAAACGAGGTGCTCCACGCGGCCGTGGATGAGCTGCACGAGCGGGCGCTCGCGCTCGAGAAGAACTGTCGTGAAAAGGATTTGCAAGTAATGTGTTTTTTTGCAAGTAATGTGCAAAAAAAGTTATATTTTTGGAGGTTATATTTTTTTGCCTTACTTGAATTTAAAAGTAGTCACCTAACTTTATTCTGCTCAGAAACATATATTTTAGCCGATGATTATATACGGCTATTTTTTACATACAAAATTCGAATGTTTTAGAATTCCACCAAACAATAAAAACTATAATAACTTTATGAAGTGCCATTTTGCTTATACCTGCAGAACATAAAGCCCGTTTCATAGACTGTTCTATTCTGCTCAGAAGTTTCCAACTGTAGAGTATTTGCTCATACAACAACAAACTGTCTATTTTATTCGGTTAGTGGGACGGAAGAATGGGGTTGGCGTATTGGCCGATTGATATGACAGTATTAGGGCATCTGATGGGGCTCCTTCCCATGTGCCAGCTGTCTGATCGGAGGATCCCTGCTGTACCCCACAGCTGCGGCAGAGCCAGCTGGACCTGCAGGAGGTGCGCGTCTCGAGCCAGCAGCTCGGCTTGCACTTGGAGGAGCTGAACCAGGAGGGGAGCTCTGTAGAGCCAGACTCACAAACGTTTAGCCTCCAATGTGAGATGGAGCGGGAGGAGGAAGAGGAGAACCAGGTTAGCACTGAGGTATACACACACACACACACTTGAATTCTTATCTTTATGGGGACCGTCCATTCATTTCTATGGGCAAAACTCTAATCCCAGCATTGACAACCTTAAGCCCCTTCCCATTTCCAACCTTAACCATAAGCAACCGAACAAAATACAGGACTTTTGGAATTTTTTGCTTTTTAATTGCAGTCACAGCTTTTTATAAAGTTGAATTTCCCCTTGTGGGGAATGAAAAAAATGGTCCCCAACAACGTCAAAAGTACAGGTTTTTATTACATCGTGGGGACATTTGATCCCCACAATGTAATGTATATCTGACCCACAGAGACCTACACACAGACAAAACACACATGAACACACACACACACAAAAACACACACATTCACGCACACTGAAAGAGATGTAAGCAGCATAAAATAAGCACAGTAAAACAACGGCATAATCTGTGTGCATGCTTTCCCACTCTGTAACAGTCTTACAGAATCAGTATTTAGAGGAAAGGCTATATTCATTTAATTAGCATAATAATTTCCACAGTCAAGTGCTTAATGTGTAGGCAGACTAAAAAATATGCAGAGGCTTTGTCGTGCCCAGCTGGAGAACCTTGGTTTCAAACACAGGAAGCTTGTTCAAGAGTCTCTCTGCAGGTACTTAACATTATGAGTCAATGTAAAGTGAATGTCTTGCGGTTGGTATTTAACACCTGGCTTTGCCCCCCCTTCTCTGCCACCAACACAGCTGCGTTCCAGGCTGCCTGACACCCGCTGCCAGGTGGGCTCACTCTACCTGCACCTGCGAGGCAGCAACGCCATGGAGCCCATACTGTCCTGCAACACCCTGACAGCCAGGGACCCGTCTGCTACCGGTCTCCATGGCGACCTGCTGGACAGCGCAGAGTCCACGGTGCCGATTTGGAAGATCAGTTGCTAATTCTGTACATGACTCACCTGTCAAATTACACTCACTGATAACGCAACATTTATGTCCTTCCCGACAAATCTGTAAGTGGTCATTTAAGAGCGATTAGAACTTCGCAGATGGACACCATGTGTGCTTGTGTGTAGATCTCACCGCACTGTGATGAGGAGGTGCTGGAGGACCAGGTGAGGAGACTAAGAGAAGAGCTGCAGGGATCCAGAGAGCGTTATAAGGAAGAGCAGGAGAGGTTCTGCAGCAGCCAGCAGGAGGTGCTGCAACTTCACAGTCAGGTCAGTGCACCTCTGCCACAGCATGCCAGTTGATGCAGGCCTGACTTTCCTTCATTGCGCATGTCTGTTGGATGAATCCTTGTTTCACCTTCAGGTGGCGCTGCTCTCTGTAGAGCTGTGCTCTCTGAGGGAGGAAGCTGGGAGTCTGCGAGCCCTGGCAGAAGCCCGGGAACCTGGGGAGCGACTGCTGAGCGCCATACGAGACCGAGACGATGCAGTTGCCAAGTAGGACATCAGACACAACCCTGCACCTGCTGCAGTCCACTTTTTGCCAGCACCCCCCACATTATGGGACTACACTTCTTATATAATTCTCACTGGTCATGCTGACCGTCCATGAGATATGAATGTAAAATGTGTGCGAAGCTCCCCCTTGTGGCTGGAATGAAATAGCAGTCCTAGCATTTTTTCAAAGCACCACTGTGGTCTTCTGTTCACTGTAGACTCCAAAATTAAACCCACATCATGAATGTCAATTTCAGTATCCAGCCTGGTAGCATGTGATGTATTATTATTATTATTGCTGCAACCATGTATTTCCGGATATGGAATACTGAAGACTATTATGATATTATTATATTATTTAATATAAAATATGGAAGTATTCAGAGATGGTTTACCGTTTGTGGTATGTAGCTGACAAGAAGAAAAAAACGTATAATTCCCGCTGTCACTGTTACACAAACAGTTTGTGGAGTCACTGAAGCAAGGGCACAAAAAGTATATATATATACTTCCTAATTTATAGGTGCATTTTCCATTGCTTTTCTTCTGTGTTGCAAAAACAGCTTTGTGCATTTGAAAATAACAGGTCCTTACATCTCGCACTGTAAGAATGAATGATTTCTGCCTTTCTCTCTTAGGACACTTTGCACATTTGGATTTTTTTGCATTGTACATGTAATTATATAAAGTATAATGGACAATATACTATTAAAGCTATACATCCGTTTGTCACTTAACCACTACAGGATCATGATGATACTGATTGTTAAGTTATGGACTGGCCATTTCATCTGGTGGCCACTTGCCACAGCCCCAAACTCTTTAGATGTGAGGGCTTGGTGGAAACACTTGAACTGTCTTCATTTCTTTAGCCTAACATAAAATTGCCTTTAATCTCTGAGATTCATCAGTTTTGGAAAAAAAAGACCCAGATGGCAGTGGTTTGCTCAATGATTGAAAAAGAAACTGTCCATATCTGTAATGTCTGTCTACATTCCATCTCAGGCAAACCTCGCATGGATTCAAAAAACAAAGCAGGCATTCTTGAACCAATAGTAAACAGGCCATTTATCTGATTAGGCCATGAGACTGGGCTGAATCAGTTTCAGCATAGAGATTGAGCTGAGTTGCGTTAACCCTGGAGCACAGCCAGGAGTGGTAGTGGAACTGAGCTGTGTCCCGTTATGCAGGGTCTACACAAATTGACATTTTCATACCGTCAGCCACTTCCTCCCATTGAAAAACAGACAGCTGCCCACAGAGTCTGGAACTGAGAATGTGTGTTGCATGACAACCATGTCACTCCACAGCTTGAAGGGCAGATCAGTAGCAGGGATGGCCAAGTAAAAGCAGCCTAATGTTCTTCTGCTGCAGCTGGTAGTGCAGCACTCAGGCTTAACCTCATAGACAGTTGGACATCTCAAAGGAAGCTATCCCAACAAAGATCTCTTCTCTTTCGTTTTCCATTGCAGGAAGAATGCGATGGAGATGGAGCTGGCCCAGTGCAAGATTGACATCATGTCCCTCAACAGTCAGCTGCTGGATGCCATCCATCAGAAACTCAGCCTTTCACAGCAGCTTGAGGCTTGGCAGGTTTGTCGTGTGTGAAGATCACAGCTCATGTTGCAGAGCTACATCGGTCAACAAAAATGTTGAAGGAAGTGTCTTAGATACTGAACTGATAACTGGGAAAATCAACCACACTTCTGAAAGTAAGGGAAATTAGCATGCATAGCATTTCCCATGTTATGGCCCAGAAGAAGCATTTCAAATAATGTAGTGTTGCGGTTTCTCAGTGTAGTTTGGCTGTATTCACACGTGACTTTAAGGTGAAGCAGTTTAAATCAGGAACTGTGCCAGTGATCCTACCAGCTGCTCCAGTGCCTCATTTTGGCTGCTATAATTTCTTCATACTACACATGTTCTTCAACGTGTGAAGGCTCAGTTGCCTGGAAACCATTCTAGCATGAAACAGCACGGATGCTCGTCCCTGGTCCTGGAAGGCTGGAGTCCAGTACTTATGTATATATTTTAAAATATATTGGAATGAGTGCTAATAGTAAAGCTAATTTTATTTGCCTAATGTTTTAATAAAACACAAAAGAGAAACTCAGATTTTGCCTACAGTGATTATCTGTTAAGAAATTTCTCAAATTCTTGCTCACATCTTTGGCCAAAAAACATTTCTGGTATTCTGGTTATGCAGTTCCAAGACTCCTGATTTTACCCAAAACCAAAGCTAAACCCAAGCACTGTACATCCCTACCACCTGACACCTACAGCACCAAATGAGATCATTTGCTGCCAAAATGACTGAAGCAGTAATGGGCAAACAACTCGCCCTGTGGCCAATGGGCCTGGGTCAGACAGCCCCTTCTCTGCTTAAATTTAGATGCGTTAACCCCACCACCACCCAGCTGCGGGGTGATTGTACGTGCTTAACAGCAGAGAGTGTGTGAAGGTGTAGCACATCCCCCGCTGCCCCCTGTCACTACTCCTCACTGCCTTCCTGACATTAGGCTGAGCCACCAAGCGCCATCTTGTGCTTTTCCATACCATTCTGAACCATGCTGGGCCCTCTTAGGCCAATTTAGGCTTAATATAGAGCTTGCATGTTCGGGCATCCATTTCAACAAACAACAATGACCAAATGGTCATTTTACTAGCAGGCCAATTGTTTCAGGATGACTTTTCAGCCTTCCTGCTCATCCTCAGCTAACTAGTGCATATGTCTCCTTCCGGCCCATCACAGGACGACATGCTCAGGATCGTCAATCAGCAGCTGATGGACAAACACCAGGATGAGTTCTGGGTCTCTCCGTACTCCTTCTCTGGTGGAAACGCAAGACTGGCGTCAACCGCGGCACGTTGTCATGGGAACGGGGACAAGAAACTCTTCTCGTTCTTCAAGAAGAACTGAACCATTCTGTGAGAATATGGTGAGGTATAAGCCTAAATATCTTGGCTATATGAGGCTATTATAATGAACCTGGAATAGTGTGGGCCACAAACTGGAAGATTTTCCTTAATTCTCATCAGTAGAATTTAAACACCCAGTGATGGGTGGAGCTGCGGGGGCCCAGTATGAGCTCTGCCCCTGGATCCACCCTTTAAGCTGCATGTTCAGGAGCAGGACCCCCAGTGTCAGTTTTTGTGCACAGAGCGCCACCTGTCTGTTCAAATATGTAACAGACATCTGCTGCAGTCATACAACAAATAAGCTAAGAAAACTCTTAATCCCACTGAGGGTGTGGGTTTAAACAGTATGCAGAGACCAGAGAGCTGAATCACACAGGTACAGGGGAACCCAGCTGCCACCATAACCCAGCAAACCTGTGCAAGTCTGTTTTGCCAATGCAAGTGTAAGTGAAAGAGTATTAAAAAAAAATAGGATTCCGAAGCATTTTCTAACTATGCCATCATGAGATCAGAGACACTGTTTTATGAACCTTCACTGAAGCACGTCAACAAAGTTGCCAGGGCAGTCAGACTGGAATGATTACGACATTGATGTGACCACAGGAACGCCTTGAGCAATTCAAGAGCGGAGTGTGACGCTCTGGGGGCAAGGCGCACTCAGCCATATGTAACCGCTGTGGAAAACACCCAGCACAGCTGCACTAGTGAAGAAGAGGATAATAAAAGTCCTGGGGAACACCGTTAGCTCCCTTTACCTGACCAGATCCCTGGCATCACCCATCTTCCATAAGCACTTAATTTAGGGTCACAACAGGCCTGGATGCCACCCCACGGCTCGGCAGACACTACGGGCAATTTGGATGCCAGTTTGCTGAAATGCGTGTTTTTGGACTGTGCAAAGAAGCCTGAGGCTCTGGTGAAAACACAGGGAGCAGGAATGCAAAGCCCACATACAGACCCAAAGCCACAGTGCTACACCCCGGGCAGCTGCATGGTTTTAGAGAACAAGTGACACGGCAAACCTACCATGACAAAATGTTTTGAGTGACCTCCTCGCTAAAGCTAAAGCGGACACCACCGCCAGCTCCAGTATCGGCGGCTAATGCTAACGTCGCTGAAGAGTGCAGGACACGGCAGCGGCTGAGCTCCCGTCAGCATGCCTTTGTCAGAAGCCTGCCCTGCAGCAGCCGGGTCTGCTGAATGCTGATGAGCTGGGCTTGAGCCTGCTTGCACTGCGCCTGCCTCTTGGCCGTATTCCAACAGGAATCCAACAGGACTCTTCATCACCATCATCATCTCGTGGTGTCATACAACGGTGGTGGTATTTTAACCCATTCTTCAGTCACCTTACAACTCTAATATAATATAAATACAACAGACAACCTGTTTAAATATATTGTTTGGTCTAATGGGCTACCAAGGCCTTAAATCAAATATAAAAAACTAATGTTATTTTTAGTATAACATTATCGAAGATGTCTGTTAATACTCCTACTGTTTAACCAACCAATAAAAATAAACGTATTCAAAATGACTTCCTTCCTCCAGTTTGTCCATCATGTCTTCCATTCCAGCCCTGCTAATTAAATAGTTGTCCTGGCTGCTTGTAGCTGCTCTTCCATTTTGACCCATCTACACGGCACATTTTGGGGTGACAGCAATGACCTATCAAACATGTGATTAGTGAAAACATCTCTGCAAGAATGCCACACTAAGGTACAGAATAATAACGGACCTTTGTAGGCAGTGAAATGCCTAGAGCCGGATTTTAAGCTGTCTCAACACAAGTGTTGATGTCTCATTTTTTTTCCTGGCCAGATGGGACTCGTGGGTCATTGATATCATAATGAGTAGAGTTGGAAACTGCTGACTGACATAAATACACTTAAAAATGTTAAGTAATATTAAACGTTACTGAGCATTTCCATAGAGATAATGTGCTTTAGCACATTAGCGGCTTGTTTCAAGAGTTTACCTGCAACAACAAAAAAAACTACCTGTAAGAATTAGACTGAAAGTTAAAAACACCACATACTCAGATAAATAATACTGTAACTGCCTGAAGGGATGCTGTGCAATGTGGCATGGACACACTGTGCAGTAGCTAAGGCTTTTTAGTAGTTTTCGGAAATGCGGAAAACTACTGACAAAGGGAATGCAAATTAAGCAGCCGTAGCTGTGCTGAAACTTAGCACACACTCTGCTTAAGCCACAAACAGTCAAAATGAACAAGGCCACATTTTGGAAAATGTTTACTACCGATTAAACTCAAGGGGCAGAGAAAGGAACGATGGGACATTTTAATTCTCCAGTGTACAGTAAACCACAGCTGAAAAATTCTGACATACTTATATTCACTTATACGCGCACATACATGCATGCACGTTTATGTGTAGATAAATATGTACGTGAATGTCAAAGGGAACATATATACAAAAATATCTATATATACAAACATTCATGTACGTATTCCAACGCAACCATCTCATTCACACGTGGGTTTTCATGATCTCTGCTTGGTTGACACTTGGTCCAGCGTTTCGGAAACGGTAACAACATACAAAACTCAAGCTAAACCTGGAGTGGGGGGCAGAGACGTCATCCACAGAGGCCCGTCTGTTCGGCCGCGAGCGGCGCCACCAGCACGGCCCGGTGGCGACCATCTTGTAAACAATGGCTCTTAGTGTTCGGCGGGTGGAGATTTCTAACAGCCTGACACAACGGAGCTACCGCTCTTTGTACTGCTCACATCACCTCAGGCATCCACCTTGCTGAACAAATCCCTGGCTACTGATCCAGTCCCCCATTGAGTACATGCCATATGGAGAAGTCCAATGATGCTGGTCCTGAGGGCCGATTTCACAAAGCTTCCCAGCTGTCGTGACACTGGTAAGAGCTTAACATGGATTCAGGGTAGACGCTGCAAGTGGGCACTGCAGCTAACAGCTGCAACAACAAGCATCTGGAGCCAGGCCCACAATGCCTGTCACCAGGGTGAGCGGACGACACGTCACGGAAAGAAGCATGGCTTAAAAAAGCTCGGGGGAGATTAGACAGACCCCATGATTTCACCAAAATGGACGAGGCCATTCCCAGAAGCCGAGGCGGGGCTCTGCCATCTGCTCCCACGGCTGCCCCGAGCTCACGGAGCCTCACAGCCTCGATGCATCATAGATGCAGGCAACGGGCCTCAAAGGGCGCATCTCACCTCGAGTAAAAAAAGCAGATCAGCATGGTAACGTGAGGACACCGTGCGTACAGCGCAACATTAAAATTTTAGATTAATCTCGGCTTAATAATCTCGATACAAGGCTATGCAGATTCATGACGTAAATATGCAGCTCGAGATGCCAAAAATGAATTCTAAAACACGGTCCTCAACTGTGAAAAGTACAGACCGTACGTCAACAACAGAACATCAGGACTGACTTTGCCGCAAGAGTCCTGGGGGTGTCGCTTGGGAGAACCTGCCAGAAGCTGGGTACAGTGTCATTCAGTCTAACCAGAGTCAGCATAACTCAGCACAGAAACAGGTACCACCATTTACCGGCATCCAAAACAAACAGTCCTCAGTTGACTAAAAGAGACCTCAGCTAATCCAGGAGAAGGTGGTGCCATTTTATGAGGATACTGTTAGTTTTTCTTTTTATTTAAGTACTAATTAAAAATTCAGACAAATGTCTTTCTCCTTTGTGCCTGGTGTTCAGAGTGAGGGGCTGGCTGGCTGCTGGCGAACTGGCTGTCATTCTCCTGTTGTTGATATGCAGGTGCAGACTAGGCCGAGTGGTACTATCACTTTCACCTGACACTGGGAGGAGGGACCATTTGGCAAAACAAGGGGGGGGGGGGGAATTTAAAAAGGAATTTCACCAGCTATGGAAGAAACAATCATTTTGTCCTTAGATTAAAAAGCAACAGATGATCATGTTTATGATGTGCTGGCACCAGGGTGAAACAAACGGAAGTAACAGGAATGTCAAAGCTCAAAAACATTTGAAGTATTACGATGCCCCCCCCCCCTTGTAAAAGAGCGAATGGGCCCTCCCCTCCTGAGTCAGATTCAGCAGATTAATAAACCACTCCCAAGACACAGAGCGACGATATGCCGGCAGAAACAAAAAGATGTGAAAATCGAAGGGGGCGGCTCTACTGCATCAGTTCCCTGAACGTTCAGGAGCTGGACCAGTTTATTAAATAAGTGGCGATTCCCAAATAAAACATCCTTCTGCTCCGCATAAAAATCTGTCCATTTGTGAATCTGTACAAGTCCTTATGATTGACGCAGTCCAAAAGGGACTGCACCATTTTTTTTTTCATTTTTTCCCCCCCATAATTTCTTTATTAAATCTTTTTAAAATGTATTTATATATATATTTATACTCTCTCAGTTCATCAGGTGTCATGGCAGTGTGCCGGCTGCAGCTGCACCCTCTCCTCCCTCCCTCTGTCCATCAGCAGCACTTCTTCTTCTTCTTGCCGCTCTTGTTCAGCTTCACCACGTCGTCGTTCTGCTGTTGCTGGTGCTGCTTGGCCAGCGCCTCCTTCCTAGCCCTCAGCACCAGTTCCGTGATGCAATTGAACATCTGCAGGGAAGGGCAGGGGGACCCCCCCCAGGCAAACAGGCCGGGTTATTTTCTCGCCCATTAGAGCGAAGCGGTTAAACTAATTTTCCGTATTAAATGTCTATGTTTAAAGATTGGTTTCAGGGCAAGGATGACGCGGGAATTATATACAAGGTGCCTGCGTAAGAGTTCCTGTATCAATACAAAATTAAAAAACAACCCAAAACCAGTTAATGGTGTCAACAATCTACAAACTACCTGAAACAGCAGTAAGAAAGTCTGACGGCAAGTAGAGACCCCTATCTGAAACTCCATTCCAGGCTGTGTCCACACTCCCATCCTCACAAGATCTCCCTCCATGCTCAGTGATTCACTTCAGAACTCAACCTACATCTTCTACGTTGACATTCTCCTTGGCGCTCGTCTCGAAAAGACGGATGCCCATCTGCTCCGCGAATTTCTGGGCGTCGTTGGTTTCTACCACCTTGGAGTTGGGGTCATCATTTTTGTTACCCACTGGTGAGAAATGACACAGAGTCAAGTTAATAGTGGGGGGGAAGCATTTCATCCACACAAGAAAATAAACAATAAATAAAACACCTGCAAACACCCGTACAAAGCAGCAAGACTCACCCAATATTCGACACACGTTGTCACAATTTTGATTTATTTCGTGCAGCCACCTCTTCACGTTGACGAAAGACTCTGCGCTGGTGACGTCATAAACCACAATGACCCCATGGGTTCCCCTGTAATAGCTACCAATAACAAGATAACAAACACGTCACTGGCAAGGTTTACGGGCCTACTGGAAGTCTGTGCATATGTTAAAACACTTTGCAGCCCTGCATCCTCCTCTTCCCTATGCAGATGAACTAGTTCTGCTATAACATATAATAGGTAAAGAAGCAGCAGACCCAAGGACAAACATCACCTTAACTGGAAGCGAGTTCAGTGATGCTAAGATATCAACAGAAGGAAAACGGGAAGAGCTAGAGCACTGGACACTGAAAGCTTCAACAGTGTGAATCTGGGCGCAACAGTTTTTCTCCCGTTTCGGATGTGACCCATTTTTAACCTCTAGTTCGAGGTCTTCCCTTGGAAATTGCCTGCTGGCCTAGTGTGCACCTGGATCATCTACTGTCTGGCAGTGCAGATCTATGGAAGACCCTCGGCAAAGTAACCACAAAGACTTAATGAAGCCATGTGTGGAGGGTTAGGAATACATTTTAGCAGGTTTCTTTGCGATGGGATACAGTTCATTTTAGTTTACAGTCATAATTTATACAGTTACATGTCATAATGGTGAAATGTCCAGATTCAAACTCATACGCCTCATGCTGAAATCCCCATGGTCACCACTGAGCTAAACATTGCTAAAAACATTAATTTAGCCATTCAACCTAAGGCATTAAACCCACAACTTGCACTGCAGCAGATGATATTGGGAAAGCTCAAAGCAAGACACACTGTTAAATGTCTTATATGTAGATAAGGAAAAGCTAAATAACAGGCCAGGCCCAGATGAGGAAAAAGAAACAAAATCCATATCATGATCAAACGTGACACAGTCACTGCCAGGCACAAGGTCACAGATGATTCTGCAGTGCACACCTATTTAAGTAAACACCACTCAAAAGTAACAAAGAAAACCATCTGATCTCCAGAGAGGAGTGCAAACCTAGAGCAAGATCCTTTCATAGCAATGAAAATACGTATTCTAAGGATGAAAGGAACATCCAGAGGTGACAGCAGAGAGCAAAGGAGCACCTGGAATAGCCTGGAAGTTCAGACAGACATGCAAGATGAAATCTGATTAGAAAGCAAGAAAAAGGACCCCAGCCATCCTAGTGAGCGATGAAAACCGAGAGATGGAGAGGACGAGCGGGAATGAAAAGAGCCCCCTTTGGAGGCTCAGTCACGCCTCAGAATGTGGTGGCTGCTGATGACTTGGGGAGGGGGGGCTGGGTAGTCCTCACAGGGCAGCCAAACAGGCTAACAAAGAACCTTTCAGCGAGCTGCTTGTTTGCAGTCTGATTCCGCTCTGGCCGGACGTCTCGATTGTGACGCGGTCGCGGCGGGCGCCCCTCAAAGCCGTGCGAGGATGGAGACCTATCACCCCATGAATCTCTCACCACACTTATTATGGCTGCCATTACTCTCCATTAAATTACCGTCCATCCGGATACCGGACGGCCAGCCCGGCAACATAGACCTCCCCATGGGTGCCGCCAATTCCACAGTATTTATAATTAAGTGGAGGTCGCGAAAGCGAACCGCCCTTGCGATGGGCGTTTCCTTCAGTGTGGCAGTTAAGTTGAAGCTGTAAAACTGGGGTACAGCTAAGTGGCTGTGGACAGATTTATATGTATTCTGCTCTACCTGCCAGCATTTCTGAGAGCTTTCACCTTTGACTAAATTTGCTAATGATCACACAGATCACATAGAATAGATGATATATGAAAATAGGGGGGAACTGGCTTGCCTAGCACTGGACTTGCCAGTTGCCGTCAACGCATTCTTGTATACATCCCGATACTTTTCTATGAACCACTTCAACCTCAACCTCATGATACATAATTTAAACAGATGTCAACAATGAAACAAAAACAGGCACATGGTCTTACTGGCTATAACTATACACAAAAAAGTCTTTCATACATTATGACAAAAACATGTACCCGCTTTGTCCTTAGCTGTCATTTAGCAATGACGATATCGGCAATACCTGACCACAGTAACACAGATGTGGGAAGGACCCCCACAGTGACCACGCTACTTAAAACAGAATACGAGACAGTGGAAAATGTGAAGAACAACAGGTGGGGTGGGGGTTTCACCACTTAATCATTTCAGACGATCTAACCAAAGTGGCTGTCGTCAATGGCCGAGAGGAAGGGGGAAGGAAGGACGAGAACCCACCCACTGTCACGGACTTACTCCTGGCCAACCTCAGCAAGCCAATTAAGGTCAAGTACCATGATCTTGGAAACTTTTAGACAACTTTGACATTAAGCTCTTCAGTACTGTCAGCAATGACTCCCCCGGAGCTTAAGACGCCACGGTCAATCACAAATCAACGGCCATAACCAATTTGCTACTGGAGGACCTTTCTTCTGCCTTTTGCCCCATTAGGTGGCAAAAGGCAGCCTTTTCAAGGCATCAACCCAGCATCAGTAATGAATCCCTTACTCCCCACACGCAGGTGTTTAGTCGTTCCTGACCAATCTAAACCAAACAATCGGAGATGACCCACAACTGGCTGCGCTCCTCCATGACTGCATTATTGTTAGTGTGGCTGAGGTGAAAGGTGGAAGATGAGGCACCTCAATCACCTCAGCCCAAAGCAGCCTGCCCACAACACCGCAACTGGTGGGTTCTGACCCGGCTCTCAGCACTACATCCATGCCAAATGAGCTGCCCTGAAACCAAACGGAATCCAGCTATTCGAATAAAGCTAAAACAAACACCCTTTTAAATGTGATAAACATTTGCTACATGTACAATTCTTTGTCCTCAAGTCAATCTGAAGTCATGAAGTCAATGAAGTCATGATTAGGGTTGTCGCGATATTATCATGATCATATGGAGCTGCACAATAATCAGCAGGCCTTATATGATGGGTGTAAACATTTGTCCAGAAGCCAGCTTTTTGGTACTATGCAGACGTTTACAGACACCCACAATTTGGTAAGCAGAACAGCAGCACGCCTAAAATATTTAATGAGAGGTGTATTGTGACACCCAAAAGTTAGTAATCTGTATAAACTCAGAGCAGTCCTTATGTTTAATAAATGTGTTGGACTTTAAACTGCAGAAAGTCCCGCCACACCAAGACGTCTTTTTACCTTGTTTATCCACAATATCTCCTCTTTCGAAAGCTGTTGTGGCTGCTGAGCTGTCCCTTTCTTCACCGTCACTAATAAATCCCTCCTGTGATTTACCAAAACAATATAATATGCTGTGCTCTGCTAACTGAATTTAATAAACATAAGGATAAAACAATACTTTTATACTCCGAGTGTCACAATATGCCTCCCATTACTATTTTAGGTGCACTACTAATCTGCTTACTGGCCGTTAGTAAACCTCTGGATAGTACCAAAAAGCTGGTTCTGGACAAACATGCGCAGCCATCATATAAGGTCCTGGTGATTATTGCGCATGTGCCATATGATTGCGATTATACTGCGACAGCCCTAATCAGGACACTCAAATCAGATCTTTAGAAGGGTAGTTCCTGGAACGCTTTTCAAATACACCACAAACACGGTTCACAGCAAACCAGGCCCGGACCCCGGGTATGTGTGACAGGGAGCTGGATGTCCTGTCAATGCTCCCAGACCATGCTAAGAGGCGGCACTTCCTTCATTTCATCAAACATGCCAACTGGCTGACCTGGGCACATTTCCTCACAAGATGTTAGCTTTAACGCCATACTAACAACCCCCACTAGGGCGTCTGCTGCCGCTCGTCGCCCCCTGCTGGTACTCACGTGGATGTGATGGTGCGGAAACGCTCCTGGCCCGCAGTGTCCCAGATCTGCAGCTTCACCTTCTCGCCATTGATCTCTACCGTCCGGATCTTAAAGTCGACCCCGATCGTGGTGATGTAGCTACCTGCGTGCAGATGCAAGCGAACCACTCGTGTCACAGTCCAAAAGGGTAGTTTTACCATGGGCAAAAGAAACTACAGATACCAAGATACCACATGAAACTAACCTTCACTCAAAGTTAGCGATGAATGCATGCAATGAGTCAGTAGCTATCTGCCAGTAACCAGGGCCAAAAATATGTATATATTTATAATATCTATATCTATGTGTCTATATCTATGTGTCTATACATATATCTATGTGTCTATACACACATATATATATATATATATATATATATATATATATATATATATATACACACACACACACACTCTGTGTGTCTACATATATAGCTAGATGATGGAAATCACAATACAGTACATAATTTCCTAAAAAGGTATTATAATTTACCATTATTTAAAGCAAAGCCACTCAAGCGTTGCCAAATGGCAAAACGTGGATTTCAGCCTAGGGAGCATAAGGCTGCCCCGACTGGTCAGAGGCACGAGCCCCCAGAAAGACAAAGGAAGCGGGGATCCTACCCGAAAATGTGTTGTCTGCAAACCGAAGGAGTAAACTGCTCTTCCCCACACCTAAAAAAAAAAAAAAAAGACACGGATATAAAAGATCCAATCAACACATGCATTTACACGGATCAAATATGTACAAATATGGCCAAAATTCTGAAAACGTGATGGCATCTGTTTTTTTCTACAATACCACGTACCAGAGATGCATTTCTTTCAGACCTGATGGGAGCAGCATATACACCTACAAATATTCAAGTGTGTGTGTGTCTGTGTGTATAAAGAGGATGTATCTGAAATAAAATGCTTTTTACTTCTGAACCACTTTTACTACATTCATGAACATGGTCTGGTTTAAATCCTGATCGTCGCGAAATGGATCACGAACAGTTAATGGATCACTAATGGTTTCTAAAAGTGTTACTTATATGGATAAAAAGTAAAATAATTTTTAAAATTGCAAAGGCATAAATGATTTTGTGATTTGTTATTAAAAACATTTTGCTGGCCTGGTCACCCTCCTGACAACATTTTTTCAAAGTTACTGACCGACATTACATTTATTTTTAAGCTCATGATTGGTGACGTGATCGCTGTTTGTACTTAAAGCACAGTGTTGCAGTATTGTTTGTTCTAAATACCTGAAGGTTACGTGGCACTGTTCTTTATTGTAGTGTTAATAGTATTTTCTTATTATTTATTACTTGAAAGCTACATGCCACTGTTGATGTTTTTTGCAATTTTGAAATGTTTTTAACTAAGGAGCATAGCATTTATTGTTTTGTTTCTTGCTGTGGTATCAAATTGAGTAGAGAATTGTGGAATTTCACTGGTATTGGTATCGACTACAAAATTTTTGGTATCGTGACATCCTTAACAGATTGGCCCACGAACAGCATGACGGGGTTTTATTTTGACAAGAATGAGCAAACCACAAAGATTTCCCGCTCCTCCAAAACTGACAAGTATCAAAACCAAAACCTCATTGGCTGCAAGTTCAACTTATAAACCACTGACACAATTAGGCATCAAAAATAAATGACCTCCCATTGGGGAACACATATTCATGCCGTCCATTCAGACTGAGCAAAGATAAAAGACAAAACCAGAAGACTGATTGAGAAAAACAAAAAAGGATAAACTGAAGGACCTGTACTGTCAGACAGACTCAATGATTTTTGGGAAAAAAACAAAACAAAAAAAAGCAGAATCTATTTGTCATGAAACAGAGGAAATGGAAAAAAAGTGATGACAGCCCTCTCAGACACCAGGAAGCTTGTGAATCTAAGGCGATGTCACGCGGTAAGCATGCGCATTTACGGCCCTTAACAACCTCTGGGTGTTCAACCAACATATTTCTGTCTTCATCATTAGGACACATTAACCTCTACAGATTACACATCTGTGCTCCCTGAAAAGCCTTCTTGGTCAATCAGACATCTGCAGAACCTAACCCCCCAGCACTGTAACAAATGAGGTACAGGTGTGGCTGAAGGCTCGCTGGAACCAATAACTTTACTTCGTAAATCACAGCCATTTTAGTCAGGAGAAATTTTTTTTAAAATAATACATTCATTGGACAGACCAATCAGAATACTCAGAATTTCAAGGCTGATGGCTGGCAGGCGGAAGCGCTAAGCAGGACACAAATCCACTGGACGTGCATCACTGGCATGTAAATCCATTAAACCCTAGGGGATCCCTTGGTCCCTACACACACACTTGCCAAACTGGCTGATAAGAGCAGGTGGCATATGCAACTTCAGCTGTTCAGCTCTTGGACAAGATGCAACACAGCGAACCGGGCTTCTCAAACACCTCCTTATAAAACCATTGCTAAACTCTTGAGCACTAAATCAGATAAACGATACTGGCCTCACTTTATCTAGTTGCAGTGACTGGAAAAAGCCATTTTGATGGCATGCAGTCTTAGTTATGTTGCCCAGGACGGCAGCGAGAGAAATACTGGGTTTTGATTGGTGCCAATCCAGGACGTGGAAGTTCAGTACGAGGACAGAACAGAGACACCACCACAAAGCACCAGATTCCCCACCCCCCTTTACCGACTCCTGGGATCAACAGAACCAGGGTTTACCAGATTTTCAAAGCTCTTTACACCACTGTTGGATCTGTAAAGTTGATACAGCAGTCGACTACAGAATCCTTCACAGGCTGAGGGATAAACAAAACTGTTGGTTCTGAAGGTGTTCACACGAAGACAAAGCAGAGCGGAAGCATTTGGTGCAAAATGAAACTCAGGTTTTAACACCAGCAGAAACGTATTTTAAAGCCAGACAGACATCTCTGCAAGAGCCCCCCAGCGACCCGGAAAGATGCACGTATCCTGGACCAAATGGACAATGTTTTCAGTTTTTAACTGCAGGGAGCATGAAGGAAAACACCGTTTTGTGGCGAAATGTGCGCACCGATTCAACCCCTTGTCTGGGGAGAGATGAGACCGCAAAACGCTACAGCCGGCTTAAAAAAAACTAAAGGAAATGCAACTGAAGAAGTGGGACAGGCCTGCAAATTACCCGTCTAAATTTCATCAAAAGTACGCAAATCTGACGTTTTTGTTGGCGACACCGTTTGATTTTAGACCAACGCGGAGTGTTTACTAAATAGAGATCTTCCCCCTACTTAAATAAGCATTCTTCATCTATGAACATTTTTACATAAACACAAAGTTTTAAGTGTGTCTAAACTGCCTGTAAGTAGATATAATGAATCGAAAATAACCTGGACTAGGCTTTAGAAAAGACCCAAAACACGACATGGGAGGGTACATTCATAACTATGACCATATAGGTTACAAAGTACGTGATCGGTGATCAAATACTAACCTACCGAGAAACCAAACACATTTTTTAAGTATTAAATGTACTGAAGCTACTAATTGGTACTAAAAGAGGCAAGGAAAGTAGCAGTACCAAGCGCTAAAGTCATTGTATATCCGGCCTACTGTGTACTGACATTCCCAGTCTATCTGACAAGAATATTCAGTTAACCAGCCATCCCGCCCTACTCTGAATGCAGTGCCCGGTTGTAGTTGAATGCAAAAAACGAGGGGGACGTATACAAGTACGTATGTGCTTCGTTAAAGCAACATGTGTTATCTATCTACATTACACACAAAACAGCCATGCAGACAAACCCTGGCTCTGACTTGGAAAATGAAGACGACCCAAACCTCGGTTTTTAACAACTAGCTTGTTAGCGATGCGGCTAGCTAGAGAGACCCGTTAGGGCCCATATCTGAACGCAAACCCCGGTGTTTCCTTACCGCTGTCGCCTATGATGAGCAACTTAAAGAGGTAATCGTAATCCCTGGCCATGCCGGAGGTTAAATGAATATCTTTTTCTTATTTTTGTCGGTGCTCTTCCTTCTCTCTCCGAACACCAGGCCCAAAATATCAGTAACCGTCTCCACGGTGTTGCGGAGCCGACTTTCCTGCGATGTTCCCGTAAATCCCCGGCCCCCAAAAGCAGAGGGTTTATTTGTGTTTTTTTCCTGTTTTTCTTTATCTTCGGGGTTTCGCGGAGTCGGCAGCTGTCCTGCCCCTGCAGTGAGCGGTCGCGCGCACACAAGCCGCTTCAACCTCCGGCGAGTCCCAGCGACGAGCCCAGTGCGAGGCGCGCGCCACCGCGCAGGCGCAGCTCACACGCAGTTACAGCAACCGCCATAGGTGGCGCCACATGGGGCGGATAAGCCTCTATTCTCAAGGTGTGTGTGTGTATTCATGTATGTATGCAGAGATGATTGTAGGGACACTGGGGGCCCTAGGCAAAGAAACTCCATGGGGCCCTCCAACGCACCCCGCCCATTATTTTTGCGTGAGATCTAAATTAATATTAACAAAGAGAATGTAAATTTCTGCTCTTTGGGTTTGTTGTAAAACTCCGCTGATAGTCACCTTCAATGGCACTTATTCTTGTCTGTGGTTATCTTCCCACCTTCGTTTCTAGCGGTCTTCGGTGTTTCTCGCGACGTAGGTGTTTTTTCCGTCTAAGGAGCTCATCTCCAGGAGCCTATTAGTGTCGTAAGCAGAACTATATACTTGGTGTGATACAGACCCTCCGTGCACAAGTTACATATTAGGCCGTTTTTTTACTCCATCCACTGATAGGGGTTTATGTAACAATACAGCAATGGCAAAAACTACCAGAATGGGGGACTTGATTTTGAACTACAGCTAGGGAAGAGGAAAATTGTTGGAGAGAATATTTCTCTAAAACAAATTAAATTTAGCTAATGGTTTAATCAGGGACCACCTGGAAGATCAACAAGCTCTACCTAGGCAGCCGACGATTCATGTCTGACCAAAATACCCTTAAGTTACCCAGCACCGCAAAGATGGTATTCGGCAGGCACAGAATGCAGCTCAGAAATTGCTCTTTACTAGCCCATTTACCAAAAAGCCTGAAACAATTGGCAGTTTTGTATATTTTCAATTGTGAGACAGACAAATACCAGGTTTATGATTTCTTGCCTTTCCTGGGGCTCAAATCAGGCATCACATCCTGCCCCCTCCAGTATCATTTCAAGGTTGCAGTCTAGACTGCCAGATATGAACCAGTCACTTACATCCTGGTCTGGGGATCACAGTTGACATCACAGCCAGCTGCAATTTGCACAGGCACTTAATTTGGTATGAATTATGGTATAAGTCTTGTGTGTCGTTGTGACATTGCATCGTCATGCATATTCAATCGCGTTCCCCACACAATAAAAATGAAGCAAGTAGACGACTCGCATGGCAGGATACACAAGATAATTGGACAATCACGCACAACTCAGACGTGTGCTTATGTTCAGTTATGCTGATACGGCTTCTGTAGCCACATCAGCCGACAGTTACTCAAGCTGCAAGGGCCACATGCTGCTTTTCTGAAGAAAGCCACATCCTGCAGTGCACTGCAAGCAGTGTCAGAACCGGATACAAGGCCTTATCGCTGTAGACACCGAACCGCATACCTCTACCTTGTTTCAGCGACTCAAGGGCCAACAGAAGCTCCTTTTCCCTTCGTTTCTGTGTTGCGATGAATAGGCATTGTCCAATTCTCGTAACATGTATGAACTGTTCATTATGAAATGGGAATCAAAAATCATATTCACCCATTTTCTGTGATTCACTGTTAAAAAAAACCCACTGGCAGTGCACTCGCACATTGAGAAAAAAATGAGCTGTCCTGTTTCACATTGCTGCCATCTGGAGGAACGTCACTGAACACCATTCCTTTCACCATGAATTTACTTCTGCTAACCTCAGAGCGAATACTACTTAAAACCAGCTTCAACATTATCAAAAAGGAAGCAGTCACTGATAACATTCCCATTTGGGGGAGTCGAGTTAGTACTTTGCTTATTTTAATTAAGTTTAGCAAACACCTCACAGCTGGTCATTTACCTTCAGCTATTGCCCTGCTGCATATCAATGTTTCCAAAACAGACGGAATAACTTCAGATAAAGTTACTCATCTTGTGCCTTAAACAGAACAAAAAGTACAATGAAAGCACAGTAAGGTACTGGTTTTTCTTTTATTGGATTCTGATCACCAAGGCAGACAGGATCTCCAGCCTAGTCAAAGAGGCCGAAGCCCAAGTCCTCGTCGGACTCCTCAGACTCTGGTGGAGCCTCCTTAGCCGCGGCCGGAGCAGCCGCTGCCGTATCAGCAGCCGCCGCTGCCACGGGTGCAGCTACAGCGAAGGCGGAGGGGTCGGCCAGGTAGGCCTTCACCTGGAAGAGGAGACGCTCAAATTCACCATCACGGCAACTCACAACATGGCAGCCACATGTGGACTTGAGAACAAAACAGACTTAAAAGAAGAATGGACAAGGAATCGTGATGATTTATGTATGAAACCAAGCGTCCCTGCCAGTAGGGGTGTGCTAGCAGACAGGGATAGTGGGAAACATGTCACTTTCTGCAGGGGGAACGACAGCACAGCACCGCCCAGCTGTCCTGTAACTTATCCTGCACCACAGTCCATTATCTACTAGACCCTGTGAGTTGCTGCATTCGACTCAACCGCAGGGAATACAAATGGTAATCAGACAGGCAAACACTAAGGTAGCCATTCAGGACACTCATGACAGCAGGTGCCCATACCTTGTCAGCCAGGGGGAAGGAGTAGTCCGTTTCCACAGCAATAGCCAGCACCCGCTTGTAGCCATTGATGACGGAGTGGGGAACAGAGGCAATGGTCGGGTATCCTATCTCCAGGCACACACTGGCTATGTTCCTCACACCCTGGAAAGATTGGAATAAGTTAGAAGTGGAGAGCTCACACTTCCGGCTTCGGTGCCAGCATCTTATGGAAAACTGGCACGAAAATGGTATCTCACAGATGCCAGCTAAGGACCTCAAGATAGGGGGGGGTTGCAGCTGTAGACCAACATTAACCAAGCAATGGAAAAGTATAGAAATGTGCAGAAAACTTAATTTTGTCCACTTTTACCATTAGCAGGGCATCCGATTTAATCAACTGGACAACTAATGACCAATGGCCACTAAGCATGTACTTTGAAAAGATCAATGATATTGAAAACACAATCACATCCATCTACAATGTGTCCCAAGAATATTTGTGTTCTGCAACACTATCAGGGCATCAGATATCACTTGTATGTCCATCGTGTGTATCCTTTTCTTATTTAACCTGCTGCATGTTCTCACCTAGCAATTGTGCCTTCATTGTTCCCTTGGAGGTATTTAAGTGCACATGGGTCTAGCAAGGGCTCACCTCCAAGAACCTCTGGTGCAGGGTCTCCTCGTTGATGTCCAGCACCTCGGGGCTGTAGACGCTGCCATTGTCGTACACCTGCTGGATGATCAGGCCGTAGGAGAAGGGCGAGATGTTCAGCATGTTGAGCAGCGTAGCCTCGCTGGCGCCCACCTTGTCTCCAGTCTTGATGAGCTGCACGTCGCTCTGCAGGAAGAGGGTGAAAACACCAGTCGGCTCGGCACGATGCTCACTCACCTCCGGAGCTAAGATTTACAAGAATAAAACATTGAACTTCAGGACTCATAAAAAAAAAGAAACCTCAAAAATAAGACCACCGTGGGGCATTTATTAAATAGAGACTTCTAGAATATGGGTATTAGTATTTCTGTATATTTCTCTGTGTACTGTACAATTGTACTGCCCCGTTTGCTTTACTGAACTGTTTTTTTATATGCTGTATTAACTCCATTTACCAGCATGCTTTAGGGTTCAATTGACATCACTGTTGATCAATCATATTTGATGTTTGTATATATTTTTTTTTATTTTGTCATCAACCAATGATAATGAGCAATGTTGAATGCCCGTGAAATCGTGAGCGGGCAGAGGATCTTGCTCCTGAGAAGTGACTTTTTGGTTGTGGTTGGCAGTTCTGGTCCTGGTGAGGAAGGATGGAAGTCTTCAGTCATGGAGCGTGACTGTCGAGGGGCGTAAAGTGTGAGGAACTCCGGTGTGATTCCTGTAATGTCTGCTGTAAAGCCCCCCCCCCCCCCCCCCCCTCACTGGCGACAGCCAAGTTAGCTTGCGTGAGGACTCGCCGAATCACGCACTGGGCTGGTTCGCTAAAAACCACAAGCGTGGCTCTACCGGCAGCATCTTGCCGGATGGATGAACCCACAGCTAAGCTAGACTGTCAGCCCAGGAGCATCTGTTGCGTGACTGTTAGTTTCTATGATCTGATTCGCCTGGCCTGGATGGTGGGTCGTGAGCAATGAAAACTGACACCGACACACACGCACGTTCCCCCCCCCCCCCGGTGGCTTGGAGGGGCATTGTAGCGGATGCCGTATTGCCCACAGCTCAGAAAGTTGCTGACTAAGTACCAGGGCCCCAACAGAGCACTTATTTTCACTTTTCCCCCCTCTTCTTTTTGCTCTTTAACCGTGTTGGGATTGTTTGTATACCCTTATACCTCCTAATTTGCTTGCACCCACTATTACACAGCTGGAATATCTAATAGTAGGTTGTTAGGGATTTAGCCTACTAGCTTAACATTCGTTCGGTAGGCTGCAGCCAAATAGTTAGAATTTTCATTCCCCACTTTGTGATTTTATCATCATTATCTTGATGAATCTATTCTATGTTTCTTATTGAGGCCATTATTAGATATCTATGTTATCACTTATTGCTGATTAATAAAAATATAATTATATTTCATTATACCCTGGGTGTATTGGCAGCTTATTTCATGCATAGCATAATATCTAAAACTTCTGCCTTTTACATTGGTATGGTACACTACAGGACCAGCTTTGCACTCCCCACTAGATTAGTACACATTTTACATATTGCACAGTTGCATTCTGGGAGATACCCCAGTGTTGTATTGTACAAGTATTGTATTTTCACAGTGGAGGCACCACGCAACTTTAGGATTTCTCAACGTTTACTATTTCCACTATTTGAATTATTTTATGGTATTAGGAAGTTAGCTCACCATTCAACTGCTGGGAATCCGGAACCCTGCTGCACCTTACATTGTCGTTTAGTGTAACTCTTAGCCAGGACTGTGCTGGGTTACTATCACCCGTTAAAAAACAAAGGGGTTACAATAAGACAAGGAATGTCAGTGGAAATGCCTTAGTAAGCCTTCAGAAAGGCCAGTCTGTCTGACAAGGTTAGGATTGTTGATGCGCCACTCACCAGGATTTCAATGGTTCCTCTGGAGATCTTGGTGGTGATTCCCAAAGCCTGGAAGAAGCTGGTCTTCTCAGGTCCCAGGCCAGTATTCTGGGCTGGCACGATGACTTCACAAGGGGCGATGGCACCAGCACGGGCTGCAGCTGGAACCTACGAGTGTCCCAGAGGAACATTAGCTATGTAGCTATGACCACTAACCACCCCCTGCAACACTAAACTGCACCTAGCAGCACTGGAACTTCACTTCTGAATATTGACACTTTGAACTTCCATTGAATCACTATTAGGGACAGTCGCATCATGAACATACCAACCCTAATCAATATAACAGATCAGTAACATCCATTTTCAGGCTGATTAACTTCAGCAGTGCCACCGCCTGACGGAAAACTAGCCAGCACTCTGAAGCCTCACCTTGTTGGCCAGCAGCAAGTCCCGGACTTCTGCCAAGTCCTCCTTGGTGAAGACAAAGCCCACATTGCCTCGGATGTGGGGCAGCAGCCTGTCAGGTGGGACAGCAGTACATTTGCCCTCATCAGAAGCATCTCAACGACGATGCATGTCATCACAATTAAAAACGACAATGTCACATGCAGGCTTAAAAAAAAATTTACCATCACGGCAACAAGACAGTCTTCATAAGACAATTTTGATTGCATAACTAGTTTAACAAAGGTTAAGCTGTCTGAGACCAAGCGTCCCTGCCAGTAGAGGTGTGCTAGCAGACAGGGATAGTGGGAAACATGTCACTTTGTGCAGGGGGAACGACAGCACAGCACCGCCCAGCTGTTCTGTAACTTATCCTGCACCGGTAGGCTTCATACTGTCCCACTCACTTTTCCAGAGCCGGGTTGTTTTCCAGGTGACCACGGATGGCCTTACGCATCATGGTGTTCTTGCCCATGAGCACCACAGCCTTGCCACGCAGGGACAGCCGAATGGTCTGCATCTGCTTGGAGCCCACATTGTCAGCTCCCACAATGAAGCACTTGGGGTAGTCATCCAGGAGTTGCTGTAAATCAGATGAAGGAAGAGGCAGGAAATCAGACAGGACATCTACAGAAAAACACATAGGCATCTTTCCAGTTGAGACTTGCATCATAAGGTTACTAGTACTGGCGATTACGAAGTATGTCTGAGACCAAGCGTCCCTGTCAGTGGTGGGGATACCAACAGTCAGGGATAGTAAGAAACAGGTCACTTTGTGCAGGGGGAACGACAGCACAGCACTGCCCAGCTGTCCTGTAACTTTTCCTGCTTAAAAATTGAAATTGTGCTCACTCATTGGGAAATACTAGTATTCTCTCCGTATCTTAAAACTCCTTGCGCATTACTGTCTGAGACTGCTCGTACACAAATATCTCAACGTATTCGCAAAGCACTCCGCCACGTATCCCAACTGAACAATCTAAAATATACTTACGATGATTTTCATAAAATAGTTGGACTTCCACGTGGCCCTGTCTTCCCTGGGCATCTTTGCTGTGCTTCCAAGGATCGCTAAACAGCCGGTTTAAAGACAAGGTGATGATCTAAAGAGAGCACACAAACAAAACATCAAGTAAGTGGTTTCGAAAGATTTTTTTCTTCTACATACATGTGCAGTTTCACTTGCCACTATATCAACAAAGATACCGCTATATAACCGCGATTGTGAGCTGCTAACGATTTAGCCGTGCTAGGCCCTCGCTTCGAACGCATTGCTAACTCGCATATTTACGGGTTGTTATTTAGCTTGATACTTCTGGTATAGGACAACAGGCTACGCCGAGGCACTGCTGACACGGTAACGTCTAATAAATGTAATTCAATTTAATAAAGGCTGAGAGGAATGGTAAGTAATCGGAGACCGAATATTTCCACATGGTGTCTCTGACGTAGGCCCAAATCCCTAAACCCACGGAAATCTACGTGAAATGTTTTTGTTCCCGAACGATCGCTTTAAGGAAACAAAACGGTTCTTATTGCACGGTATGTATAAGATAGTCCTGCAAATTATTAATTAAAAACTACCCGTGAAGTATTACGCTAACAAGCGACATTCGGCGCCCATTACCTCACGGTAGGGACGCGTGAAAGAAAGAGAACGATGCGTCGACGGGCGGGGTATTTATAGAATGTAAACGTCAGCCAATCAGAACCCGGCAGATCGCCGCGTATCCTGAACGACCATTGGTTTAAAATTATGTAAATCATCCTTCGGCGTAGGCCTGTGGTTTCTTGGCGCGTTGGTTATGTATCGCTGTCAGAAATACTAGTTATTTACGAGGCTGAAGTTTTTTATTCGGAAGTGTATTCGCAAGATCCTTGGTATCTTAAATAGATATAATGCATGTTCTGCCGCATTGACCATCATTTATTTTACCAATACCGCGCGATACACCACCTATTACACTTACCATATCCTGAGTTTTAAGATATTTCGCTGTGTAGTTTTTAAAATAATGCCCTCCGAAATATGAACTTTTCCCCATTAAGAGTTAAAAACAATTCGTGTTCTGCCATATTGACAAAAATTTATCTAAACGCCTGTTAGAAAGCTCGTTCAGGGGGCATCATTTTAAAAATCAAACAGCAAAATATTTTCAATCTCAGGATATATTAAGTGTATGACATGGTGTTGAGCTTTCTAACAGATGTTTTGACACTGACACAATAAATTGCTGTTAACATACACTATACAGCCACTGTTCTGCACATGCAGGATGATCAGGCCATAGAAGGGTTCAGCATGTTGAGCAGCTAGTGCCCACCTGGTCTCCTCTTGTTTCAACCAGGAGCTTGAGATTGTGACTATATTCAGCTGGTTGGTTGAAACAAAATCTTGGCCTGGATTTTTACTTTCTGGACCTGAACTATCCACCTCTCCCTATGTTGCTTATAGGGCTGGTCTGCCCTGTATATACACAAACTACAATGAGGTAGACAGATACGCATGGGAAATTGTTCTAAATAAGCAAAGTGGGAAAGAAAAGCTGTCTTGCAATTAAAGTTAAAAGTAATGCCAAACATTCATACCTTTATCTTAGATCATAATGCACACATTCTTCAGATATTGTAGGTGTCCCATTATTATAAGCAATGGTATTCTGAGCAAAACAAAATCCAGACCAAGGTTGTTTTTCTACCAACCACGTAAGTACAATATGACTGTGACTCTTTATGCCCAAGTGGTTGGTAGAAACAAAATGCTGGTCTGGATTTGTAGCTTCTGGACCTGTAATGCCCAACACTGAGCACGGAACACAAAGTAGGAGATGCCATAGATGGGATGCCAGTTCATCACAGGGCACAAACTCCTACAAAACAAAACAAATATCACACACCAAGGACACCAGCTAACCTAACCTGTCTTTAGATTGTGGATGAAATGGAAACCCATGGAAAAACTGGCGAACATGCCTACTGCAAGAACTAATCCCATTTACACATGCTTAGGTTTGTCAACTTTCATGTTTGACTTGTAGTAACCTCCCACATCCATTGTTTGAGGAATCTAAAAATAACTGGTAAAATAGGGGGCGGGGGGGATGACACAGAAACACTTACTCAAATTTATTTTATTGTTGGCATCATCACATGAAATCAAATGAACAAAAGGATCAAAACCTCCCATTACAAAAAGGTTACATCCCATCCATGGGTAATACAGCAGGGCAAAAAGTAAATTATAGAGGTGGAAAAAATAAGACTTTCCCTTTGGTTAAAAGAAGATCAAATGTCACGATTATCAAGCTAACTTCAGATTAAATGCAAGCAGATCAACAGAATAACCCAGGGGGTATTCTAGAAGTGAAACTGCACTTTGAAAACAAATCGATAGTAAAACAAGGCACAAAAGTGGAATATTCCAAACTGAAACACCCCCCTGCTCCCCCCAAATTCACACCCCCATCATGTGGCACTTTCGTCGGATATGCCTGGACACGGCTCGGACCTGGGGGCTGTGCCTCCACATCGCTTTCACATGACTTCCTCTTCACAGCCTCAAAGTTTCACAGTCACATCTCTGCAGCGCAGATGCTGAGGACAAAAGTTGCCTGAAGCGTGTGACTGTTACATACATGCACACGAATGTCCACGCAACAGGACACAGTACACCGCTTCTACCTGGCGATAACAGGTCACAGGAAATAGGCTGATCAGACAATTTGTACATGAGGTCTTGGAACATGTGATGAGTTGCGCAGAGTTCACAAAGGAAGCATAGTGAAATTCCCAAACAAGCCATCCGACATACACAATGTTCTGGCAAAGTGCAGCAAATTCACTAACTTGTACGAATGGGGGGGGGGAGACCAAACGGTAATATTCATGGTGCATCATCCGCTCTCGATACGGGGCGAAGGGTTACAGCCTCCTGACAGTCTCAATCTCAGAATAACCAATCAACTCGCTTATCTACTCACAGTAGGAGGGTCTGGCAGTGTGTTTAACACCTTGCATTGAAACTCTGGTACATGTGTTTTGTAAAACTTACCTATACAAGTAATTTAATTAACGGACCAAGGTTTTGACATGGAAAACATTTCAACTGGAAAGTGACATATAAATGAAACTGCTGACTGCTAATCAGGATGTGAATTCAAACTCCATCCTCACCCATTCTCAGCAGGGGAAAAGGGGGAAAAAATGAAAGGGCGATTTTTATTTGGCATCTGTACACACATGTAATATGAAATTTCACAAAACTACGCTAAAAAGGACAGAGCAACAGACCTGATCATAAGTGTATTGCGGTTTAAAAAGGGAAAAAAGGGCTTTTTTAAAAAAAAAAAAAAAAAACACAAATTAACCAAACTTGTCCAAACATATGCTCAACATTAATGAAACAAAATCCAAAAACAGCAGTTTTAAGCTTTCTCCAGTATTGCAGCCGTTGCCTAGGAGACGCCAGGACAGGGAGACATTGTACAGTGATGTCACCGGCACCCCTGAGGCCCGCGGCCTTTCCAGGAGGTAATCAATCTGACGCTTCTCATTTATCAGCTAAATTCACTTCAGCTTGCTGAAATTACAAAATTCTCTAAAGTGGTTCTCCATTAAATATTACATATGCACGTGGAACAAAAAGTAAAAAGCAAAGCTTTATTAATATTAATTTTAAAGGTATTGTGGTATAAATCCCAATATATCAACACTAGAGCAAGAGACTCGCAGGAGTGCATCAAGCATTCGAGAAAATACAGTTTTGGTAAGTGTATTGCAATTGGTATTTTGGGAAATCGACTAAACCCCCAGTACCCAGCCCCGAATGAAGGTTCACATTTTGCTTTTAAGGCTAGAAACAGATCCTTTTTATGCTTGCGGGTCTGTTCTGAAAACGGCGTGCGGCTTAAAAATTAAAAATTTAGAACAACAGTAAAAATGGCATAAAACCGACAGCCAAAGTTTAATAAGAAAGTTTAGATTGGAAAGGTTTATGAAAACACGACCCTGATACATTTAATACATAAAAATGGGATCTAAGCTGCGCTGGCACCAGAATCGTCCATGAGAGAGAGGAGAAGCAAAGTGAAAGCTTGAGTGAGTCTTTGCATGCATTCCAGCAGAGACCCAGACAAAGCGGATCAGTGTGCTTCAGAACTACAAAAATAACCTCCATCCCACCTTCACCCTAAAGTGAGAAAGCCCTGCGTTAGCCGAACAGTGACCCGCCGGCTCTCCAAGGTCCACGCCCATCAAGCTCAGTCCCTTCCATCCATCCATCCATTCCATCCATCCATCACATGCTCAGCTAAGCATTGGTGCTGGTTTGCATTCTGGGACTCATGCACAGAAATGGAAAGTGGACTCCCCCCCCCCCCCC